AGATCGTGTCGAGTGGCAGTTTAGCATAAGGGTGCACGACCCCAAGTAGTTGGGATAAAGGTGAGGTAAAAGAAGCAGAAAAACAACAAGGCACACAACAATGGCTGGGTATATCGAACCAAACTTATGAAAAATAGAAAAGTTGATAGATTTATAGCCAGACTAGAAATAAAAGGCTATGTTCAAGTTTCACTAACTGGATCTAAATTTATCAGGATACACATAAACAAGGGAAGTTCTATAAAAAAATGAGTAAGAAAATTATTATATTAAATTTAGATAACAAGACCAAATATAACATTTGCTGTAGATCTTATAGGTCGCTATTCGAAAAAGTCCCTGATAATACATTGGTATGCGGTAAAACATATTTTAGATTATATAATAAGAACGTTTAACTACGGTTTAATTTTTGATTGTAAGGTCAAACTAAAGTTACTTGATTACAGTGATGTAGACTATGACTATGTAGACAAATAAAAAAGGCAATCAGAATCTGGATAAATGTTGTGGGTTAACATAATTTCAAAAATATAAGGAAAAAAATGTATAATGTATAATTAAGAAAACGAGTAAAATTAAATTCTCTACCCTGAAGAATACTCTACAAACAAATTAGTATGACAATAATACATCATTACCACCCGACTGTAGTGAAAAATGAGATAATTTTCCTTAACCAACTATTGAATTATAATTGATAAAAGTGTATAACTCTGAGAAAAATTGTAGAATAATTTATTTAGCATTTTTATATTAATTATTCATAATAGAACCTTATATGAATAATTAGTACAACGAAATATTTTTAAATAATAGATATTGGGTTTATATTTTGACATTGTATTAATTTAATACGATTACATGTTTTTTACTTTATACACTTATTATTCTTATTTTAAAGAAGTTTTTATAGTACAACAGCTGTCATTAAAAAAAACGTAAAAATTAAAACGTAAAATATAACAAAAACGTTATGTTTAAGTATTATATATAATATATATGTGTATACAGGGTGGAACGGATCTAACTGACAACTCATTTAACTTATGACGTACATAACATTTTATACTTTTTTTTTTAATCAATTTTTACAATATAGAACTATATTGAAAATATGCTTTATGTTATTTTTTGCAATTACAAGAAATATTTTAAAAATTAATTTTTTTATTAAATTTATTTTTAAGATTTTAAGATAACCACTTTATAGATAAGTTTTAAAGAAAAATTGTGATACCAAAAACTCTTACTTTAATCCAGTAGTTACGTTTGTACAGCATTTTGAAATTTGTTAAATTTTAATTTTTTTTACAATTTTCCTACGGTATCAAATGTTAGTCCATATTATGTGAAGTACAGAAGTAAATACTTATTACATTATTTACTGGTAACAGTACGCGATTTCTTTTCCATGAAAATTATTAACACTTGAATAAGCATTTGTAATTGACATAAAAAAACATTTAGTAGTATAATTCAGATTATTAAAAAAAATTATAGAAACATTGTCTAAAACATGTTGAATTATTATTTAAATAAGTTCATATATTATAAATTGAAACGTGAATAAGTGCATTTATTATCAAATCTCCTAACAAGGAGTATTCTATAATAATATGATTACAATGATAGAATCAAGCAAATTAATAATTTTTATCACTTTTAACTTGACCAACCATGGAACACTCGTAGTTTACATACGATGATGTCTAACTTTAGTAATAAAGATTAGAGATAATCATTTCTGTATAAAGCGCGTTAAACGTTATTATTATCCACGGAAAAGAAATTGCGTACTATTACCAGTAAATATTGTAATAAGTGTTTACTTTTGTACTTTACATAATATTGACTGACATTTGATACCATAGGAAAATTGTATAAAAAATTTTAATCTAACAAATTTCAAAATGCTGTATAAACGTAACTACTGAATTAAAAAAAGAGTTTTTGGTATCACAATTTTTCTTTAAAAATTATCTATAAAATGGCTATCTTAAAATCTTAAAAAAATTTAATTTTTAAAATATTTTTTGTAATTGCGAAAAATAACATAAAACATATTTTAAATATAGTTCTATATTGTAAAAATTGATAAAAAAAAAAGTATAAAATATGTATGTAGATCATGTTATATGAATTATCAGTTAGATCCGTTCCACTCTGTATATTATATTTATATAGTATTATAAATATTCATATAATTATAGGATAAATCTTACTTTTACAATATACATTATATAAAACGAAAATCACACCATATGGAGTAAATTATAATTTATAAAAATTAAAATACAATGTAATTAAATTATATTTGAAATGCACTTTATAAATGTTGATATTAGAATTTAAAATTTTAACAGTAATGAGGAATACTAAGAAGTTATTATTAAATTACATTATTTTGTCTATATTCATTAATGGAGTTATATTGTAATTGTATCAATACATAAATGAGTCAATAAGTTAAAGCTAAATTATGTCTTCAAAGTGATGAAAATTAAGACTTGATTGTGTTGTTTGTATAATGAATATTACAGATAACTCCATTACAGAACTCCATAATAGTTATTTATGACTTATAAAATTTATAGGTCTCTCAAAATTTAATGTCAATATTATTGTTTTATTTCAAATTGTAATATTAAATTAAATTATAATAAAAATTAATGATAAATAAAATATTTACGTTTGTACAAAGCTAAATTGAAAAAAATTACCATTTAACAAAAAGTATAAAATATTAATTTAAATTTTAAAAAGCAACTATGATAAAAAATAGATAGTAAACATTAAAATATTCAACCAGTAACAAATAATTAATCAAATAATTTCAATACAAACAAAAAAAATACTAAAAATCTAATAATAAAATATTTACCATATAAAATGAACTGATTTTTTAAAAGTATTTTGTATTAAATTATAATATTATTTTATTTATAAAATTTTTTATAATTAAAAAAAATGTTTTTAATTGCTATTTTATCAATTTTATTATTTAATTTCAATACGATGAAATCTGTCCACAATGAACGGCATTGTAATTTTTCTAGATACATGTTGAACTATTTTAAACTAAATGAGCACTATTTGTTACAAATGTATAAAAATTTTGATATGTATACCAAAGAAGATTTAAAAAAATATGGACGAGCTTTTCAAACTCATGGCGATGTCGTATTGTTGATGATTGAAGATCTACACAAAATTAATAAAAATATTGTTGCATATGATTTGATGACAGTAAATTTATATTTAAATAATAATTCTGGTTCGATAAATGTAATGTATAAATATCAGGCAGGTAATAATATTGATAAAAATAAAGTGTTTCTTGGTATACAAGGATTAAAATTACAAAATTATTCTATGATGAAAACATTGACACATTTTATAGATAGTTTTTGTGTTAAAATACCAATACCGTATTTTGTCCAGTATCCTAATGAATACATAACTCAACAATTAAAGATTGACAAATTAGTCGATATTACTGAATATTTAAGAAAAAAAATAATTAAAGAAATAGATCCTGACATAATTAAAAAAAGTAATATGACAATATTTCATCCAAAAAATCAGTTATTTTATAATATTATGTTAAACAAGTCTGATAAAAATTTAGCAAAAGGTACTGAATTAAGACAACATCAAGAATTTGTTAATGGTAAACCAAAATACATTTTAGACCTTCTTCGATTTGCTCCTCTTAATATACAGTGTGCCGACAAATCTGACTTGACTATAACTGATGTATTTCGTTTTGTGAAATATCATTATTTATACGTTGATGTAAAAGTATACCAAAAAATTTTATTCGCTGCCACTTTTTATCCTGTTGGAATACTTATTGCCTACTATATACAATTTGTTAGTAAAATGATACAAATTGGTCTAAACCCTAAAAATTATATAAAGAATAATAAATTATGTATATATGAGTTGGGTAAAAAAATAAAAATGATTTTACAACATTTTATTGATTTCAATATTTTTATGGGAACCGCTTATGATTATCTTGTATCTATTATTAATAATTTATATATAATATTATCNCGCTTATGATTATCTTGTATCTATTATTAATAATTTATATGTAATATTATCTTGGGTTCGTGGCATGTCACTTAAAATACCAGATTTACCAAATATATTGTTGAACAAATTAGAATTATTCATGAATAATAACTTTTTAAAGTTTAATATAGAATTAGTACCAAACGTTACGGAAGAAAATGTAATGCACATACATGACATAATATTTGAAAAAGGAAATCAAGTTGAATTATATCTCCAAAAACTCCATAAATATAGAAATTCATTACATTCGATTTTTGTTACGCAATGTTTAGGAAATATTACGAGCAAAGTCCACAGAAGATTTTTACCACAAAATTTAATTGGTAAGCATTTATTTTCATTTATTTTTACTCTAAGGCATGATTTTATAAGAAATTAAATATTCTTTATAGGTAAATTTCGAAAATATAATTATTATTATATTTAACATATTGCATTACTTTAATAATTAAAAATTATTTTTAAATTATTGCTAGAAAGTTATTCTACAGTTTTTATATAAAAAATAACGTATTTGTAATACACGGGAAAAAATGTACAATTTTAATAGTTTATAAGTAGGTATTTTTAAAAAATTTTAGAAAGCTATTTTGAGGATACATTTTAAGGAACACTTGATAAGTAAAGTTTTACTTATAAAAAATATAAACTGTAATAAAATATCTAGAGTATTTTAAATTTGTAGAAATTGTTGGTTGTATATTTAATGGTACTCAACTAAACTAATGTTCTGAATAAGTTATTCATTAAAAAAAAATGTATGATGATTGTTGATATTGAATTAAATGTTTATAGACTATATCTTTCTTTGATAAAACGCTAATCTAAAATGTTATTTAACTATGATTCAATAGGAAGAAATTTTGATATAAAACTTTTATAAATACTAACTTAAGATTTATTTTTATTTACAGATCATTTATGCACAGATAATCCGATAGATTATTGTAAGAGTACTAACGATGAATGCGTTATTAACGATGAAAGTAGTGAATTAAATATTTACGACATCGGGAATAATGATGGTTTGGACGAATTTAAAATTACAAATATTGAAAATATCAAAAACGCAATTTTTAATAGCAAAAAAGAGAAAAGTTTAAATCCATCAATTGACATGAAGGATTCGCCAAAACACATGGTGGATTATTTCATTAGTTCTGCATAAAAAATTATATTTTTGTAATAGAGCTATTATAATACCTTGCGTTATTTTAAACATTTATATCAAATTTATAATTTCATCACATAATAGTTCATTTAATTTTAATATGTACTTTTCATTATACTTTTAGATAACAATTTTTAATAATTTTATGGAATCATCTTAGAAACAATGGACATAATTAGTAAAATGAAACATGGTTATATATTCTTAGGACATTTGTATATAATATTAACTAGAGAAAAATGGAAAATTTTCATTTTCATGAACATTGTTCAACAGGAAAATAAAACCCTATTTCGTGATCTTAATTTTATGAAAACTATAAAATTCTGAATTTTTAATTTAAAAATCATATTTGTGTAATTTAATTTTTTGTTTATATGAACTTTAAAAGTACTTGAAAAAAAAAATTTGATAGCATAGATATTATTTAATTATAGGAAAAGTGTTTGAGTTATAATTATAGGATTACATCCTCATTTTGAATTATACAAAATTAATAGAGACTTATTTTTGTCCAGAAAATTACTCGATGTATCGATGACCTAGTCTTTTATCATAATCGGTTGTTGAACGCATTACGAGTAACCTACCGGTCACTCGAATAAATGGTAGCTATGTGAGTCCTAAGTCAATAGTCTTAGCAAATCCGCGATGCACCGTGCCATTTAAATCGACTTGATAACGGTTCAGATCACTTCTACAATTTGATGCATACCGGGAAAATAAGTTCACGATCAGACGGTTCTGTATTCCAAGAAACAAAGTTCAGATGGGTTATTGCTAGTTCATAAGAATAAGCGACTCAATAGTATGAGTCTACAAACGGCAGTATTCCTTACGGTCATTGACGATGCTTAACCGTCACTAGAACATATATATATATAGTAAGTTTTGATATTTAAAAGAGTACACAGCAAAAATTCATGGACTTCAGAAGAAAATGTGTACGAAAAATATTTTGATCGGGCTGTTCAAAGTTCAGTTGCCATTCAAAGTAATGTTATTCAATTAGGTAACTCATACAATAGATAATAAATATAGTTTAAAAAAACTAAAAAAACACGCTTTTAAAGCACATCGAACTAAAAATTATTTTAAACGCTTTCATCACAATAATACTAGTATTTTTTTTCATAATTATTTTTAACTTTTTAGTTTGATGTACTTTAAAAGCGTGTTTTTTTAGTTTTTTTAAACTATATTTATTTTTTACTTTTTAGTTCCATGTTATGATAGTAGTTACTATCAATATCATGGTGATAACGGGTAACGGGAAATCAGGGTTCGATTCCGGGGAGGGAGTCTGAAAAACGGCTCCCACATCCAAGGAAAACAGCGGGCGCGTAAATTACCCACTCCCGGAACATGGAGGTAGTGACGAAAAATGACGATACGGAAATCATCCTTTGTAATCGGAATGAATGAGTTCTATATCTCTAAATAAGAATAAAGTGTGTTAATATATATTTTTAATAGTAATTAGAGTATATATACAGGGTGTTCAGTAAGTCAGGAAACGGGTTTCTATTGTTCTCATTGTTTGTAACAATGAGAACAATAGAAACCCGTTTCCTGACTTACTGAACACCCTGTATACATGTAGAGCGACTTAAGTACGTAAACGTATCATGCACGAGGTATAGCCGTGTTTTGTGGGCGGGCGGGTCGGACTAACGTTATACCTGAGGTTTAAACGGCGGTAGGAATATATACGTAAGCTGTATGCACGTGGATGATATTGGTCAGTCAAAATAAAAATTTGTTTATATATATATAATATTGATGACACGCACGTGTGTACGGGTACGATAACCAAAAATAAATTTATACAGGAATAGTATTGCCGGCGTGTGACGAGCGAGGCGCGGGGTGGGGTGAATGCGTTATGACAGTCTAGTCTAGACAACGGAATATGCGATAACGCGTGGCGTTTGGAGAGTTACATACATACAGGTGAAACTAATTTAAGCGTGTTAAAAAAACGATTTTTATCGATAGAACGGCGTCTACAGTCAAATTCCGATATGCGGGCAGAATATTCAAAATTCATGAACGAATACGAACAGATAGGGCACATAGAACTTGTGACTGATCAGGAGCGAAATAAAAAGGAGTTACGCTGTTGTTATTTACCTCATCATGATGTCATGAATAATTAATAAACAAATCTTCGACTCCTCGTTTTTGACGCATCATGCTCGGGTCTTAGTCTTAATGACGTATTATTAAAGGAGCCCGTCATCCAGGACGATCTACTTTATATTCTGATTCGGTATCGTAAGTGTACTGACAGCGGATATCGAAAAAAAATATGTACTGACAGATAAAAATCGGCGAGTGCCATCGTGAGGATTCTTGAACGTGATAATCCAAAGGTGCCACTGAGAATCTACCGCCTGCGAACTGTGACGTACAGTACAATAAGTGCAAGTTATTCGTCAACAACTTGCCTAGAAAAGTTGGCAGAATGTGAATTCATTCGATATCCCTTGACGCGTATCAATCATTGGTTATTGACTTTTTGGCGGTGCAATGAAACGGACAGAGGCATTAACATTAAGAGACAATATTATTGCATTCGTGAAATGTGTCTAGATTTACATAGTAAATGGTCGTCGAACGACAACAGTTTAATAAGTAATTTATTTACTACTGTATACGACACAGACAGCGACGTCCCGCTCGTTATCGCTCACGACACGACAACAATATTTGCACTTGTGTTGGGACCCGCCATCGGATTCATTTAAATGTACAGTAAGTGAAAACAATAAGCGTACAATCTTATCGAATATAAGGACAATTTTCGAACCCTTGGTTTGCTCGGATCGACGTTATTGGTTGCAAAAATGATCGTGTAACGTTTATGGCGTATTCGACTTGGATGGGACGAACCCGTTACGGTAGAAGTTGCTGGTAAATGGCGTAAGTACAGTACACAATTAATACGAGTTCAGTATTCCGAGACATGTGTTGTGTGAATTACAGCTAAACGGCTTTGCCGATTTATCTATTAAAGCGTATGGTGCATGTATTCACATTAGATTGTCGTTACAGTAGATTTGATGAAAACGATTGTCACACGGCGAGTTTATTACAAGCGAAGTCCAAGGCCGCGTCAATAAAAACTACATCACTGCTTCGACTTGAATTGTGTGCAGCGCTAATATTAACAGGTACTGGAAGCCGACTAGTGCCGAAGTTGAAATGCAAAATTGATCGGCAACTTTATTGAACTGGTTCAAGCACAACACTCGCTTGGATTTCACCTCAATCTCAATCTGACAAATGAAAAACATCCGTGTTGGTAATTTTTTATCATATTTCGTGCGCTTTTAAACAAAACATATCATGATAAACCATATGGGTGCTATAAATATCTTATGGTATTATTCTCATGTGTATAATTTTAATTAATATACTTGTCATTTTTCATTTCATAAAGCGGTGAACAAAAATATATCATAGACTTTTTTGTGAGTACAGTTCGTACTAGTTTAATTACTTACGTTAATATACACTTTATATACTAATATACCGTAACAGATGAACGATCTGTCGGTTAAAAAATATTGTTTATGTTAAACTTATACTTATATTAATTATGTATATCCTTATTTACTATATTTTTTAGCTTCGATGCGAAGCTGAGAAGGTATTAATTTTACCATGATGTGTTTATTTTTTTTTTGTGTCTGTTGCCACTATTTCTCAGCTCTCATTAGACCGATTTCTTTTAACAATACGTCAAAAGATCACAAATCGTATCTAGTTGAAGACATTACCCTTAAAAATTGAAAAATTTTTCCTCGTTCCCCGCAAATGGGGAAATCTCCAAAAAAATTACAATTTTTTAAATCGGTAAATTTTGTCATTTTTTTCACTTTTATTTTTTAAAACTTCCATATTTTTTTCAAAAATCAACGAATTAACATCATTTTTTTTATATTAAAACCTTAGATATTTCCTTTTCATTTGATATCATTTTTTTTAGCAAAAAATGTAAAACTTGCAAAACAAATCAGCTTCTATCGTGATGCTTTTTGTATTTAAAACTACCATAACTTATTGAAATATTAATAACAACAAAATAATATTTTTTTATATTGAAACCTTGGGTAATTTCCATTCATTTGATATCATTTTTTTTGAAAATCTAACACTATTCAACTCGCAGGGGAGGATTTAAAATAGCAACTTTTTTACAAACACTAACTTTTTCAACTTAACTTTTGAAAATATTCCTGAAATATTCACAGTTTTATTTAATCTTAAATTAAAGCTTATATTATATACTTTACTATGAAAGAAAAAAAATTCGAAATATACATATTCTTGTTGGTGAAAATGGCTACCGTAATCAAGAATATGCTATTTTTGTGTTAAAATTCTGTGTTTTGTATTTTATTTTATTTTAAAATATCCTACAAGGGGAATACACTGACTTTTATGAATATTATATAATTTAATAGACATAGAAAAAAAATGTATAAGACATAAGAAATTAAACTTATTTAAATATTTTTACTTTTTTAATGTCGAAAAATTAATATTTAAATTTGAATTAGCTTAAATTGCTTATTTTATCATGCGACGAAAGCAACGAACAGTTGCCGAATCGGTAACACTTGTGTTTTTCATGCTTAAGGTACGAGGTTTGAATCCACCTGTGGCTATTAACATTTTGCATTTTTTTTCGAGTTAAAAAAAAATTTCAAATTATTTGATTTTTATCTCATTTAGATTCAATAACTACAATAAATATCAAGGATCCCATCACTATAGTCTCCCCTTGTGAGAAGAAATTTCTTATTCATGATAATGTCATTTTACTATGTGGTTTTTTTTGTGGCTACGATTTATTTTGCCAACCCTCACTTGACCTACTTTTTTTAACGATACATCAAATGATTACAATTGGTATTTAGTTGAAGATATTACCCTTAAAAATTGAAAAAAAATTACTTATTTATATAAAAAGTAGCTTAGCCAGCTTTTTCCATACAAACAATTAAAATCATTCATTTCTAATATTTTTAAAGTATTTATTGTCGATTTGATATGATAAAAGTATTCAACTACAAAAGTAAATAATTTTACTTTGTAATTTATTAATTTTTTAGCTCTATTTGTGTGTGCTACTACCTGTCTATAATATTCCAAATTTTTTTGTAATATTTTGCTATATAAAATACAAATCTAAAAAAAAAATTATTTTTAGTTTCGCCTGAATTTAACGATGGATTTTTACAATTATAATCAAATTTTATAATACGCTTAATTGAGTAGATTATGATTGAGTAGAGCGCTTATGATAAATGAAGGGAAAACTAAATATTTAAATAATGGCAGTTGGTGAAGGTAATCAATTACACCAAAACAGAAATTTGAACATTGAAAATTATCGTTTCGAAAAAGTAGAAAGCTTTAAATATCTAGGACTGTATATAAATAGTCGCAATAATTACCATGAGGAAATAAACCTGAGAGTAAAAGCTGGAAACCGATGTTATTTCACGTTACAGAAAACCTTCAGGTTCTTTAAATTTGTCTTCATGATGAAAATGACTACCGTATTTAAAAATATGCTATTTTTGTGTTAAAATTCTAGGTTTTGTATTTTCTTTTAAAATACCTGAAAAGGGGAGTACACCGATTTTCATAAATATTATAAGAATCAAATTGATATAACATAGACAGTTAATCTTATTTAAATTTATAATCACTGTCAGATATCATCTATAATTGTCCCAAGTTTAGAAATGATTTATATAGCAACATGATGTTACCAACAAATTTGGAATATGTCATTTTCGTTATTTTTAACATATTAATAATCAAAATCAATATTAATTTAAAACAATTTTTTTTTGTTCTTCATTTTTTTTTATACATATAAATACTTATTTTTTAATAATAAGTAATAATGTTAAAACTTAGAAGTGATAGAAAAAGTCTAATTGTACATTTGAAACACTTTGCGTAAAGTTGATTTAGAAAAGTATATTTTTGTTTCTGATGAAAGTTCCTTGTAGTCCAGTGTATAAAACTTATAACTTTGTTATAAGCAACAAACATTTTTTATTGAAAAGTATTGCATCAAGCCCTTCTAATTTTAATATGCGTTAAAAGTAAAGAAATACGAACTACTTTATTATTTTTATATCTCCGTAAAAATTACAATATTTTATTATTGAATATCAATTTCATACTAAACTTAAATATTATTATTATTATTTATATATATATTACAATTATAAATCAAATAACTAATTGGAATAAAATTAAGGGAATAAGAGTTATTGTTGCTTTTAAAATAATCTACCAATTTCTTAAAATTAAACACAATCTACAGATTTGGATCGAAGCGTTTCTTATAATAGTGATTTTAATCACTGTCAGATATCATCTATACTTGAACCAACTATGCCTTGTCCATATTGTGCCGCAACCCCACTTTGCTACCGATTTTTTAAAAAAAATTTTAACTTATAGAACGTAACATAAGCTTTAATTTAACATATATTTTAAAGACGTAGTATTTTAAACAGGTAATTTGAAAAAGTTCTACTTTTTATATGTATTTTTCAAGTTTTGAATGCCCCCATTATAAGGGTAAATAAACCTATTTAAAAAAAAGTATGTCGGATGATAGAGGTTATATATAAAGTATTTAGAAACTAAATTTTGTGTTGATCTATTTATTTTTCAAAAAGTTAAATTATTTCAAAGTTGAAAATATCTAAGGTTTCAATATAAAAAAAATTATGTTGATTTATTAATTTTTGAAAAAATTATGGAAGTTTTAAGAAAAAAATATTTAAACATAAATATTATTATTATTATTTATATATATATATATATATTACAATTATAAATCAAATAACTAATTGGGATGAAATTATGAAAACAAGATTTATTGTTGCTTTTATTATAATCTACCAATTTCTTAAAATTAAACACTATCTACAGATTTGGATTGAAGCGTTTCTTATGATAGTGATTTTAATCACTGTTAGATATCATCTATACTTGTATCAACTATGCCACGTCTATACTGTGCTGCGACCCCTCTGTGCTACGGTTTTTTTTATTTTTTTATTTTATAAATTATCCGTAAAATTTACAAAACTAAATTATTAAATATTAATTTCATACTGTATTTAATTTCTTTAATAGATATTTAATCAAATATTACACTTATAAATCATAGAACTACTAATTAGAGATAATGAAGGAAATAGGAGTTACTGAAAATTTCCCATTTTACTCTAATTAGTATTACGTACATAGTTCCTTAGAATTTATCACCGAATTTATACAAATTATTTTATTAAAATATATAAAGTAACGTAATAACGTATTATATTAGTGTTTTATTATTTAAATATATAATTTTTTATTAAGGACAAATGAAATAATCCACCATGTGTTTCGGCAAATCCTTCATGTCAATTAATTCATTCAAACTTTCATTTTTTTTGCCTTTGCAGACAGGGTTTCTGAACTTTTCTATATTTGTAGTTTTAAATTCATCCAAACCATCATTATTTCCAAGATCATGAACACTTAATTCACTATTGTCATCGTTAATAACGCATTTATCTTTAGTACTGTTAGAATAATCTATTGGATTATCTGAACATAAATGATCTGTAAATAAAAACAATTTACCAAAAATAGTAAAACTTAGGTTAAATCATAGGGAAAATAGGAATACTAATCTTAATAGTTTTTATTAGGAGTAAAATAACCAACATAAAAAAATACCTTATTTAAAACGCCATTAAATAGTTAGGATAATAGTTTAAATTTATAAATTTTTATAACTTTGATGTGTTGTTGAAAAGTTATTGGTTTAATACTTTAATTTTTTTAGTAGAATAAATTTTATAAAAAAAATTTAATATCAAAATTTCTTATTGTTTTATTGTAGTTAAATATCTAGACAATTTTCATTTGGTTTTTTATCAAAGAGAGAAATCATATATAAATATCAATTATTATGCTTTTGCAAACATTTGTTGACTGAACTCAGTCCGACGCTATTAATAGTATTGGATAAAATTACGAGTGTTCATTAAAGTGATAATAAATTAATTATTTTTTTAAATTATCTACAAAATAGCTTTTAAGAAATTTTTTTTAAATATTTTACATAAACATTTAAAATAGTACATATTTTTCCGTATATCAAAAATATGTTATTTTATATATAAAAACAGTAGAATAAGTTTCTAATAGTAGTTTAAAAATTAAAATAACACAATATGTTAAATTTAATAAAAGTTGTTTGATTTGTCATATTTTCACAATTTACCTCATATGTAACTTACAATTAATCATTCTTTATAGAAAAAAATTAAATAAATGCTTACCAATTAAATTTTGTGGTAAAAACTTTTTATTGACTTTAACTTTAATATTTTCTAAACATTGCGTAACAAAAATCGAATGTAATGAATTTCCATATTTATGGAGTTCTTGGAGATAAAGTTCAACTTGATTTCCTTTTTCAAATATTATGTCATGTATATGCATTACATTTTCTTTCGTAAAGTTTGTTTCTAATTCTATATTAAACTTTAATAAATTATTATTCATGAATAGTTCTAATTTGTTCAACATTTTATGTGGTAAATCTACTACTTTAAGTCGCATGCTACGAATCAAAGATAAACACATATGGAAACTATTTTTTATAGATACAAGAAAACCATTTTCGTATCCAATAAAAATATTTAAATCAATAAACTGTAGTAAAATCATTTAAATTTTTTCACCCAAAACTTCTGTGTATAATTTGTCATTCTTTATGTAATTTTTGGGGTTTAGACCAGTTTCAATCATTTTACATATAAAATATAGGTAGTTAGCTACAAGCATTCCAACAGGATAAAAAGTAGCTATATATGAAATTTTTTGGAATGTTCTTACATCAACGTATAAATAATGATATTTCACAAAACGAAATACATCAGTTATAGTCAAGTCAGATTTGTCGGCACACTGTATATTAAGAGGAGCAAATCGAAGAAGGTCTAAAATGTATTTTGGTTTACCATCAACAAATTGTTGGTGTTGTCTTAATTCAGTACCTTTTGCTAAATTCTTATCTGATTGGTTAATCATAATATTATAAAATAACTGATTTTTTGGATGAAATATTGTCATATTGCTTTTTTCAATTATGTAAGGATCTATTTCTTTAATTATTTTTTTTTTAAAATATTCAGTAATATTGACTAATATGTCAATATTTAATTGTTGAGTTATGTACTCATTAGGATACTCAACAAAATACGGTATTGGTATTTTAACACAAAAACTATCTATAAAATGTGTCAATGTTTTCATCATAGAATAATTTTGTAATCTTAAACCTTGTATACCAAGAAACACTTTATTTTTATCAATATTATTACTTGCCTGATATTTATACATTACATTTATCGAACCAGAATTATTGTTTAAGTATAAATTGACCATCATTAAGTCAAATGCAACATAATTTTTATTAATTTTGTGTAGATCTTCAATCATCAACAATACGACATCGCCATGAGTTTGAAAAGCTCGCCCATATTTTTTTAAATCTTCTTCGGTATACATTTCAAAATTTGTAAACATTTGTAACAAATAATGCTCATTAAGTTTAAAATAGTTCAACATATATCTAGAAAAATTACAATGCCGTTCATTATCGACAGATTTCACAGTTTTGAAATTAAATAATAAAATTGATAAAATAGCAATTAAAAACATTTTTTTTCAATTATAAGGAAGTTTTATAAATAAAATAATATTAAATTTAATATAAAATACTTTTTAAAAATCAGTTCATTTTATATGGTAAAGATTTTATTATTAGATTTTTAGTATTTTTTTTATTTGTGTTGAAATAATTTGATTAAATATTTGTGACTGGCAAAGTTATTTTGATGTTTCCATATATTTTTTATATAATAACTATTCAGAAATTCAGACATTTTTTTATAATTTTAGTTAAACGGTAATTTTTTTCAATTTAGCTTTGTATAAATGTCAATATTTTATTTATCATTAATTTTTATAATAATTAAATTTAATATTACAATTTGAAATAAAACAATAATATTGACTTTAAATTTTTAAGGACCTATAAATTTTATAATTCATAGACAACCTTAAAAAAATTTAGTTAATTTTGTAAAATTGTTGTTATATGGAGTTCTGTAATGGAATTATTTGTAATATTCAAAGTACAAACAAGACAATCTTGTTTTGTTTTTCATCACTTTGAAAACTTAACTTAGCTTTAACTGATTGACTCATTTATGCCTTGGTCCAATACAAAACACCTCCATAAATTAACATAGTTTAATTTTAACTTTTTAGCATTCAGTGGCGTCGGAACCTGTTTTTACATGGGGCACATAAATTTAATGACCAAAATACGGTCCTCTTGATTGTTACTAAGCTAAAAAGCGGGATAAGCTATTTTTTGGTGATTTTAGTGATCACATAAAAAAAAACCCGGTAATTTATAAATTTTAGTCTTAATAACACATATTTTAGCTTCGATACGAATTGTAATCATTTGAAGTATCGTTGAAAAACGTAATCAGAGAAAAACGATCAGAGAAAACAAATAATAGTCACAAAAAAATACCTTCTCAGCTTTGCATCGAAGCTAAAACCTAAAATAATTGTAATATGAATAAGAAATTTCTTTACACAAGTTTTACCGACCGGCAACCGTACCTCGCTTCCGTAAGAATATCAGTATTTTTGGAACACTTTCAAAAATTAAATTGTAAATGTCCTAGTTTCAATACGCATGTGTTAAGTTGTGACCCCCTTGTATAAAGGGATATGATCCGATTTAAAAAAAAAGTGTGTCTGATGTAAGGGGTATAATAGTTATTTATAAAATAATAATAATATTGATCCAAACATTTTTCCAAAAGTTATAGCAATATAAATCTAAAAATATAAAATATAAAATCGAGAATTTTTTCACGGACATCGTACGTTTTTCTTTAACTTTGATGTCCGTTTTCCTCATAAAGTCAAGTCTAGAGGTCAAATTTTTTTTTTAAATTAAAGTATACTTCATAAGCTTTAATTTAAGGTATATATAAAAGTGTTAGTCTTTCCGGAACATTTTCAAAAGTTAATTTTTTGTGAAAAAGTTGCTATTTTGTAACCCTTTCTGTGGGCTGATAAAGGGTCAAATGTTCACAAAAAAATATCAAATGATAGGTAAATATCTAAGGTATCTATAAAAAAAAATATATAGATTAGTTCATTTTTAAAAAAGTTATGGCAGTTTTAAGTAAAAAAAATTTCGAAAATTTCGAAAATTAGCGATTTATAAATTTGTAATTTTTTTGGAGGTTTCCTCCGTTTACGGGGAACGAGGGAAATTTTTAAATTTTTGAGGGTAGTGTCTTCGACTAGATACGATTTGTTATCTTTTGAAGTATCGTTGAAAGAGATAGGTCCAGCGAGAGCTGAGATTGAGCGGTCACAGGCACAAAAAAGAAAAAATAAATAAAAAAAAAAAACACATCATAGTAAAACTAATACCTTCTCAGCTTCGTATCGAAGCTAAAATTATAAAGTAGTTGTTACTTTATGGCAAACGTATAGAAATTTTTTTTTTTTTTAATTTATAGTAAGTAACATAAGTTTTAATTTAAGGTATATATAAAAGTGTCAGTATTTCTGTATATATTAACATATTGTATAGTGTCAGTTCTTCAGTATATATAAGCAAGAAATAAACTTAGTTATACTAACAAAGTTCGTTTTACTTGTAAATTGATTTATATATAATATCATAAAATAAAAATAGAACCTCTGAAGAAAAATAAAGGTGTGCTATAGTGTAAAAACTGTTAGTCTTTTGAAAATGCTTAAACTATTATTATAAAAAAATTATCTATGTATAATTTAGTAAAGAACATAAAACAGAAGATTGCCCAAATCCATTTATGTTTATTTATACTTAACCTTCTCTCTAAAAGTTATTGCTTGTGCTAGAGAGGAAGGGATAAGCACACAGGGGTTATATAGTTGACAGTGGTTTTTTGATTAGTAAATTTATATCAAAGAAAAGTATATATTCTTCTAGCGTTTATTTAGTATTTATTTATAGCATTTACTAGAAAAAGTTTAAACTTTTTATTTCATTAAATTATATACATTACATTTATTAACATTAAAAAGTATATAAATTACTGTTCTAGTTCTTCTAAGTAATTATTCAATTACAAAATGAAAAATCTAATATTGATAGACTGAAAGTTATTGTTTTAACGAAATTATGATTAATCCAGTGTTGGGAAAGTCCAAATAATTATATAGATTTTCTATTTAAATAATAACAAATTATTTTTTTTTAGCTTGTTGACTTTATAAATAGTTATCTAAAATCATCAAAATAAGGTTTTTTTCATCTAGATATTTCATTAATCAATGAGTATGATGTTCAGCAGTACTTAGTATTTTATGATATTTTTTATCATATTTCGTGCGCTTTTAAACAAAACATATCATGATAAACCATATGGGTGCTATAAATATCTTATGGTATTATTCTCATGTGTATAATTTTAATTAATATACTTGTCATTTTTCATTTCATAAAGCGGTGAACAAAAATATATCATAGACTTTTTTGTGAGTACAGTTCGTACTAGTTTAATTACTTACGTTAATATACACTTTATATACTAATATACCGTAACAGATGAACGATCTGTCGGTTAAAAAATATTGTTTATGTTAAACTTATACTTATATTAATTATGTATATCCTTATTTACTATATTTTTTAGCTTCGATGCGAAGCTGAGAAGGTATTAATTTTACCATGATGTGTTTATTTTTTTTTTGTGTCTGTCACTACTTTTTCTCAGCTCTCACTGGACTGATTTCTTTCAACAATACGTCAAAAGATCACAAATCATATCTAGTTGAAGACATTACCCTTAAAAATTGAAAAATTTTCCCTCGTTCCCCGCAAATAGGGGAAATATCCAAAAAAATTACAAATTTAAAAATCGGTAAATTTAGTCAATTTTTTCACTTTTTTTTCTTAAAACTTCCATAACTTTTTAAAAAGTAAACAAATCAACATAATTTTTTTTTATACTAAAACCTTAGATATTTTAATTGTATAATTAATATTAAATACTAATTAATAGTATAAAAAATAAATATTTTAAAACTATGAATTACTATCAAATAATTGTTTGGCTCTAAACAATTTTTCAAGCAAATGTTAAATAACCTTTGTGATTCCAAATTGTTATTTAAAATTAAACTTATAAAACAAATATCTTCTTAGTATAGATTAAAATAAAAATATCTGGTGGTCTTTTTTTACAGATAAATATATTGCGTATACAAGAGGTCTGTGCATATTATAATATTTACATATTATAAACATCGACTGCAATGTTGCAAAATTAAATGAAACTCATAATTTTTTATTAGATAACATTTTTTATATTAGCAATTTAATACCTTATTCAAGAACATAAAGTATCATTAACGACTAGCATGACGTCAATGCAAGTGGATTGCAATGATTACTAGTAAAAGCAATCCACTCGGGTGGATAACGTTAAATTGCAAAGGTATTTATTTGAAGACAAATTCAATTTTTTATTAACTGAGAGTATACATTTTCTTTAGAAAAGTTCTCATAATATGAATGATGTAATATTATAAGGGTCGTATAAATTTAACTGTTTAGTGCATACATTTGAAGAATAACATTGTTGCCGTTACAAAATTACAAGAAAAAATAATAGAAGTTTTTAAATGTGTGGTAATTCTTATAAGACAGATTATAATTTTTTAGTATATTATTTTAATTTTTTATTAAATCCAATTTAATATTTATGAAGGTTAAACTGACTAGCAGCGTGTACATAAAACTTTAAACCTTATAATTATGTAGTGTGCCGTAAAAACATTTACAAACGATACTTGATAATACTAAAAAGCATCTGGTCACCTACTTAGTGGTTCATTGAATTAATAATAAAAATGATCTTTTGATAAAAGTATAATTTGCTCTCTACAATTTAGTCAAACTTGAAGATGCATTAAAGTTACATTTTATGACGAAAAAGAAAATTACTTACTGTTGTTTTTAAAAAATTTTAACTTTACTAAGATTTAATTAGGACAAAATTTAAACTTTACTGTGCATAATAAGATCATTTTTATACTATTAATATAGATTACGTATCAAATAATTAATAAGTAAAATAGTAAATAAATAAACTATATAACATGATTAGGTCTAACCTTATAATGATACCACACTGTTATATATAGTTACTTAACAATACTGTGTTAGTTCAATAAATAACGCTGAAAAATAGCAAAATATTTAATCGATTTCGTCCAGAACTCATAGTAGTACACATCAGACATCTATTAAATTGTATTATTGTTGCCAAAAACTCTGATTTTTTTATTAGAAATGAAATAATCTTTTCAACATGTCATCAAAAGAGTTATCGACTAAACGACTAAATACAAATAATAAGAAAAACAATAACATTCACAAAGAGAGGACAAAGAAAAAAATAGTTGATCAGGTACAAAGTGACGGAAGATTGTAAGTTTAACCACAATATCTTTAAAATTATCATTTAATATAAAATAGTTTAAGAATCAAATTATGTATTTTTAGAAAAATTTACATAAATCGTGAAAACGAGCTTCAAGCTCAGTGGCCAGAAAGATGGGGATTTTATTCGAAGAAAAATATAGAAAAAGTACGATAAACTATTAATGTCCTCACCCCTTTTTTTAACTTTTACAGTAATAGACAGTTTTCATATAAAAAAAAATAAGTATATATATATAAATGAAAATTATGTAGGTATAAAAAATGTAATGTAATACTACTTAATTTTTCAATTGACATACAAGTAATTTCTACTGGCACAATACAACATTCTCTACTCGAATTAACTAAAATAATAACTATTTAAACTATAAATTATCCATTACTTAGTACTTCAATCCAAAAATATACGTTTTGTGTTTGGGGATAACGTAAGAGTTATAGTTATCTTTTTTGAGTATATGTTAGTGCAGTAATAGGATCATAATTTTTTGAATGAAAAATTGTATAGATGACTTTATAGATGTGGAGTGAGGAATCTATCAAGTTGGGTTTGCCGAAAGATTTTATTGATTACCGCAGAGAAAAACAGCGCAAACAGAATACAATTCAACCATTGATAAGTGTAGTTCCATCACCCATTACCATACCTCAGACATCATCTGGTGAGTTATTAGTAAAAATTAAAATATTAAATTAAAATTTGAGTTTAATAGGTTTTATTGGTTGGAGATCATCACATTATGATTGTAACTTAGAGATATTTGGACGAATGTTTACAAATAGTAAACCTGATCCTCGAATGTTCATTCCAGACAATGAACCAGACCCAAGATATTATCATTTTATTATTTTAGGATGATATAAGTTTATATCTTAGTGATATATTATTATATAACATATAAAAACTTATACAGGATACACAATATATTTAATAAAAAAAAACACAATAGTTTTTTTGTGATTTGTCAAAAACTATTTCTTTTCATGACATTCCAAATATTTTTTTTTTGTAAACAAATGGTAACTTTTCTACAAGAGTACATGGATTAACTTCAATTGCTACAAGTTCTTCATTGTTTAAAAAGTCAAAAAACACCAAATGCTATGAAAATAAATACATAATTATTGATGATTATTTTTATGATAATATTAATAGTAATATATCAAACTTATATACATTATTTACTACTTTAATTATTTTTTTATAAAAAAATGCTAAATTAATTTAAAATTTATTGCAATAGTAAAATTAAAGAAAAATATTTGAAAGTTTCAAAATAAAAATAAAAATACATTAGGTATATTAGAAAATCATAAATAATAATGATTAAATTAATGTAACGCTAAAAATTTTTTTTATCTTTCAGTTCTAAAAATCTAAAATTGATATTAAAATAATTATTTATTTTAACTAATCATAGTAAATGAGCAAAGATTATGCACACAAATTCATACTCATTTAATACTTAAACAGAAGTTATGTAATTAAAAATAAACAAATTCAAAGTATAAAATACATAGCGAAATTTTATTTAAGATGCAGGAAAGAATTTTCAATCTAAACATAAACCCAATTTTTTAGCTCTTATGATATTTGATAATTTACTATTCAATTTTAAAATATAACACATACTGTAAAAATGCATATAACTTTATAAAATAAAACACTTTATGGTAATATTATTATTTACAATTTAAGCTAGTTCATAAACTTATGAACTAGCTATCATAATAATATATATATTATATATATATAATATATAATATATATTATAGTTATCATAAAAATATTAAAAATTACAAGGAGCAGTTATAAAATGCTAAACATTTTATAACTACTATAAAAAATTAAATTAATGAATAAATATTTCTTGTATTTGAATAACATATTTATGTATTTATAACAATTGGAGTTCTTACCCGAGTGGGTTGTTATTTATTTTAAATTAAATTAAAATAGCATAACTTACTTAAATGTTATCACTATTATAAAGAACTCATAATATAACTTTGTTAACTGTTCATAAAATTTGAAATTTTCATATCAGTTGCAGCCTTTTTTATGTTTCAATTTATTATTTACTTTCAAATATTAATATTGTTTTAATAAAATAATTTATTTTAAAATATTAAATGTGTTATAAGTTTAAATTAAACAAATTTTATGACATAGTTATTTAGGGGATAAAATCTATTCATTCTAGAGCATTGTATAGAAAAAATAAATTATTATTGATACTATTAAAAAATAAAATAAATTATTACCTCATAATTCTGTAGTATTTTTACAGAGATTTTTTTATTTTCTGATTCTCTTTTCTTTATTTTACTTGTTGACTTATCTGGAGTTGACTGTCATTGCATAGTTTGAAATAGCTATTATTAGTTCTAAATAAATAGTTATGCAATAATAATAACTTATTACCTTATTATCATTTGTGACAACACAAATAGTATTGTCATCAGAAAGTATAACAGCATCACTTCTAGACTCATCAAATGCTATAAAATTAATGGGAAATGGCCTGTTTAATAAGTCACTTGGAGGAGTTAATAATAAATTTTCTGAAAATTGAGTATATTCCTTTTTGTTTATATTGTATTCAAAAACCTAGGAAATAAGGTAATAATTTACTAATTATAACATCAAATGATATTTGTATAAAATGTTAAAAAAGTATTTATATATAAATTATATCATAAAACTTACATTACGATCTGCATAGGCTATTACAAGATTTTCAGTGGTAGGATGTATTTTTAGACTGGTTGGAGGACAATGATACTTAGGAAGTGTACAATAATGCTAAAATACAATCATAAAATAAATGTTCAGTTTATATTGAATAAAAAAACTTATTATTAACTTCTAGAATCAATAGATAAGTTTACTTACTAATCCTTCGCTAAATACTATAATATTATTTAGTCTATCTCCAATTACAATATATTTATTTGATTTAGAGACTTCAAGTAAATGAACTAGATCTTTAATATCTATAATAATAAGTAATATTAGTATGAAATTAAATATGGAAAAATAAGTTTTAATACTAACATGGACTAGTATCAATGCAATATTTAGTTAATAAGTCAAATTTATGAGACATTTCTAAACATACTAAAGTATTTTCATGTTTAGTAGCAAACCATAAGTATTTGCTATCTGACGAAAAAGCTAGTTGTGTAGAAACATCACACTCAACTGGTTGAATATCTGTTTTTTTAATCATTGGTTCACTAGTTACAATATCCTTAAAATAAAACAAGAAATGTAATTAAATTTTCAATGAAATATAAACACACACACACACACACACACATATATAAATATATACCATTATTAAACTGAATATTTTTAATTTTTCTTCTGTTGAATATACAATCCAAGTACCATCTGGTGAAATAGTTGCACATCTTATGAAATCATTTTTTGAATACTTAATAGTTACTAATTTTGATAATTTATTTTCATATTTATGTTTATCACCTAAGTGCCATATATCTAAGTGACTTAGATACTTCAGCATTACATAACGAGCATCAGTTGCTAACGATACAGAAGACTATAAAGAAAATTTTGTTATTTCTTTTTTTAAAGACCTTTTTATGCTTTATTTTTTTAATACTTACAGGCATTAATGGAGGATATTTCACTAACAATTTTGGTGGGTAACTACTAACAGCTAAGTATCCATCAATACCTACACAGATAAAAAATATTTATAATAGGAAAATATTATTAATATTAAAAAAAAATACCCCCAGAATATAGTTTGCCTTTAAAATGAATCAACGATTTCACTTCAACTCTGTGTGCGGAAAGATTCACACTTCTAACCCATTTGCCACAATCTATATTACTATCTGACTTCATAGTAATTTTTTCATAACATACAATAGTGGGATCAACACCTAAAAACCAAATTAATGTTAATATTTTATTTTTTATACAAAATGTTTTGTTTCTACTAACCACTACAATAAACTTTTGCTTGTGATTCGTCTAAGCACAATGTTAAAGCATTTGTTTTTAAAGCTTGATGATTTGCAATATTTATTCCTTTATATCCATCCCAGAAACATAACTTCCCACTAAAATTTTAAATATTTATTATTTAAATCTGATGGTAAAATAAATTAATCATAATATATGTTTTCACCGTGAATCTGCACTTATTATTGTAAAATCATTAGCAACAACTAATGAGGAGACAACAGTTTCTGATTGTCCCGTTGGTAATTTATGGACTGCATGACCATTTCGACGACTATAGATTCGTAATGCATTTACTGATCCAGTAACAAGCCATTCACCAGTAATATCCCATGAAATACAACTAATACGACCTAAAAGTAAGTAAAACTAAAAAATGTATTGTTCACTATACCAAAATTTTAAATGAATATTATTAAAATTATTTTTATTATTTGGGGTTAAAAATATTAATCTTTCAATAATAAATAAGCCAGTAACATTTATTGGATTAATAGCCAAAAATTCTAACATAATAAAAATTTTAAGCAACATAAAAATAAAATTATTATATACCTTCTTGTTTGTCCATTAGTCTATCATAAGTTAATCCATCAGGGGTTATTTCAAATATGTTTATATATCCATCTTGCGTCCCTGCCTAAAATAGATAACTATTAGAATATTAATAAATATTGAATACCAACTAAGGTTTTTTAGAATATTTACAGCTAGACGTTCACTATTTTTATGAATTGCTATACACCAACATGACCCAGAAGTCACAGTCTTGTAATACTAAATAAAAATATATATAATAATTTTAAATTTAAACTTATAAAATATTACATGTTTATACCATAGGAGAAAGACTTTGAAGATCATGCTCAGTAACTGTACCATTAGCGCTACAACTGAACAATCTTCCCTTATGCCATTCTAGCCCATCTATGCTGCTATCACACATAAGTATTCTATCAATATGAGGTTTATAAGATACATCCCATACTTCAATTGATGCGTTTGATCTAAAAAAAAATATCAACTACTTTAATTCTGAAAACTAAGCCAGTATAAAAAAAAAAAATCACCTTCCAATAGCCAATTTGTTAGTGTCACTTTCAATGGACATGCACTTTACAGACAGAAGTTCCGGTGAAAAAAAATTCACTTTGTGTACGTCAAATGAACCCATCTTCTGGTTTTTAATTACAGTTATAACATTTTCAGGTACTAACTTCATGAATCAATTTATAAGTAAATTCTTTAATATTAGGATACTTAAATGTTTACAAAACAACGAGTATATATAATTATTTAAAAAACATAACCTCAAAAAGAATGTGATTACAAGTAAGGTAGTATTACATGATAATTAATGATAAACGTACATTATATTGCAGTTATATTTTGTGGTATTAATTTATTTCTATGCTTTTTTAACACAAAAATTTAGATGTGCGTAGGCATTAAAATTTTCGTTTTTCCAATTAACGCAACATATATATTTAAATATCGAAAACCACGGAATAAATGAAACTAAATATTTAACGATAATGAAGTTAGCAATTTCTAATCAGATACATGCAGCGGTTACCATATAGTTAACACCATATATTGCCTACTAACACTATTATTCCAAATATTATCATATAAGATGTTACTTTTACTAATTATAAAAAGCGCAACATAATAACAAAATAAAATTCGTTAAACATATATAGAACTTCAAATAATACCTGGTAGCGAAATTGGTGGATGATTTCAGTAGCCGTAAACAATAAATAATCGGTTGACCAATCTAATGCATAAGTAGATCTAAAATGTGTATATTCTTTTTTGTATTTTTAACAAAGTTCCGAGACGAATCTTGGCAATAACTGTGTACCAAATAAAGGCTTATAAAATTACTTATCGAGTAGTATAAATCACAAATATTCCTTGAATGTCCAAATAACTAGTATGAGAGAAGTTTCTGGATCTAGCAATTGAAAACAATCTACAAATTTATAGATAAGTTTCTTATAGGAATTAACAGACATTAACTGTAAATATTAATATGAAATGCTATTAGTTAAAAGAGTACCTGTTAAATTTATATTGTTAATGGGTCCATCACATGTGTAAAATGGCACATTCGCATTTGATCATATTAAACATGTATAAATTTTTATTTTATGATTTTTATTTAAGGACTCATATACCCATTTTTCTATAAACCCAATCTAAGTGTCCCTTTAAAGAAAATATTGACTAATTTACTGCAGCACAATACTACTAAATTTTACATTCTGCGAAAAAAATTCTATTAATTATGTTATAACCAAATATGCAAATATACTTTTTAATTCAAAATAAAACAAAACAAGTTATTTGTTTATTTATTTATCTTAATCTGATTTTTTAAAAGGTTGAAGCATCTTGTATTAACTTGAAATAAATATTTTTATTGAACTAAATTTGATATTTAAATTTTTTTGTAATGTAATAAAAAATAATATTCATTAAATTTAGGTTTTTGTTTCTATTCATACACCAGTGATTTTAAATACAAAACATTGAAATATTATATATGTTTATATTTACCACACCTTCATGGTGAATAGAAAAAAGGTACTTAAATAAAATTAAAGTTTTTGGAGTATGTAAAAATATTTATTCCATCAACAATTTAATGTACTCGATAAAAATTATATTTTGGGGTATTCTATGGTTTATTTTAAGGGCACTGCAGGTTTTTAATTTAAAAATTGTTCCTATTCACTCTATTATATACTGAAAAACTAACTGTAAAACTGCCACTGATAACACTCAATGAACAGTTGTAAATTTTGTGCTAAACTCGCATATATAATCACACTTAGCGGGCTGTAGATAGTGTTTCTACAGACTATCTGATATGAACACAAGTAAATATGAGGCCAAAAAAAATTAAATGTAAATGTGAATATTAGATATGTTATTGTAATATAAATACTATATGCCAATCTATAATATTAGAACTGTTTTGATTTGAACGCTATTATTAATTGAGATACTAACTGGACGAGTGTTAAATCAACATTAAAATGTTTTGATGTTATCAGACTGTTATAAAATAACTTTTAGTAATCGTGTTAAAATAATTTAACCATGTTAACTTTGTCATTGTTATAAGTTATGTTGAACATTTAATGAGTATTAGTTAAGCATTAGAAATATTTAGTTCAATTACAATCATTGTTAATTTAAAACGCTTGTTGATATTTAATTAAAAATATAAAGAAAGGTTATTTTTAGAAGGGCGAATAACCAGTAATCACTGATAATAAATATTCACCAGACAAAACATCACTGTAAACATAATATTACATATTCTCTAACCTAGAATTTGTAAATTAATTTAAACTTAAAATTGAAGAAATCATTGATTTCCTATTTTGTTTGCTTTGTTAATTTGGGGTGTAATATAAGTTTAAGTATTATAAATTTTAAAATATGGTAATACAGCAGTTTCACTTCAGTCATGAAAATCAATACTAACTTTATTAAGGTTCTTTATATCTACAACATACATTTTTTAAATTATAGTATTCAATTATTGCTTTTAGTTGTTTTGGCTGTTACACTTTTATTATAAATACAAATAGCTAATTTTTTAAATAATTATAGCTGTCATATGATAGAATATAAAAATTTGGATGGAATTATCAATCTAAGAAGTGTTTTAAATAGTAATGACAGTGATGTTAGTGTAAATGTGCGAACTAATTCTAATAGACTTTTTATATTCATCACTAACTGAATCAAATTCTATGTATGGAACATATAAACCAATAGAATGAACTTCCCAGGTAATTGTAAAATAATATGTATTACTTTTAGTATATTATGAATTTGCTGCATTCAACTAACGATAGTCCTTTTATTTCGACCGGAACTGGAAAATGGAATAAAAATGGGTACATGGAATGTTAGGACCTTAAACAAACCGGGAGCGTTACAGTACTTACTGGATGCTATAAAAAAATATAATACAAACATATTAGATCTACAAGAAATTAGACAGAAGTATGAAAAAAGAAGATAAAACAATATTCTATAGTGGAAGAAAGGATGGAAAACATGAAAATGGTTTAGGATTTGTAGTGAGTGACGACACATTACCACAAGTAAAAGAATTGACAGCAGTAAATGACAGGACATGCTATATTCGACTCACAGGTCGCATTTTTTATACAATTATTGTAAACGCATATGCACCAACTGAAGAGAAAAAAGAAAATCTTAAGAATGAGTTCTACAATGAACTAGAGCACATACTTGACACAACAACGAACAGCTGTATCAAAATATTATTAGGCGACTTTAATACAAAAATAAGAAAGGAGGATATGTACAGGCCCACGATTGGACCGAATAGTTTACATGACCATTACCTTGTAATTACAAAACTTAAAGTTGGATTATCTGAAAGATGGAAAAGGTAAAAAATATGGAAACCGTAAAATACTGTATAGAAAAACTTTCAGAAAAGGAGGTATTGGAGGAATACATCTGTAAAACACAGCAAGAACTACAAAAGACCAACAAAAATGCAGATGAAGATGTTGAACGGATATGGGACAGAATCAGAACAGCAGTAGTCAATAGTACTAATAATTGTTTAGGAATAAAAAAAAAAAGAAAGGAATGGTTTAATGATGATGTGATTAAAAATGAAATTTGGAAAATGATTAAGGTAATTTGGGAAAATCGAAGTAATACCAGGAGAGTGGAACACTGCAATACTATACCCAATATTTAAAAAGGAAGACACACTAGACCCAAAAAATTATAGAGGAATTTCCTTATTGGATACCTGTTATAAAATAATGTCGACGCTTTTTTTGGAAAGAATAACGCCGTACGCAGAAGGCATTATAGGAAAATATCAATGAAATCCACCGTCGACCACATACTTACCTCAAGACAAACGATGGAGAAATACTGAGTTCGATAAGGACCTATATATGATATTTGTTGACTACAAACAAGTTTATAATAGTGTGAATAGACAAGAACTATGGAAAGCAATGATACATTTTGGAATCCAACAAAAATATGTAAATTTAGTAAAAATGTTTAATGACAAGACGTTACTTAAAGTAGATTTCCTACACAGATTATCGCCAGCCTTTGAGCTTATGAAAAGCTGACATTCGAGGTTTAAATAGCATTACTGGTCGTCATTTGCCTGAAAATTTTAAATCATGGCCTATTTTATGTAGCCTAGCCTTAAAGGATATAATATGGTAAGAAACAAAAAAATTGATAAATATTAGTAATTAATATTAGTCTATATGCATTTTTTTTGTAGTATAGTAATCAATGCATGTTTTAATATTAAAATTAAAATTAGGTAATATTTCTATGAACTCGTCAACAACTTTTTTTACTTTTTATTTTCAATTATGATATCGGTTAAAACTCTAAAAAAGCAATATGTTGTGTTTACTTATTATTTTAATTTTTGTTTTAGGTTTTTTGAATATTTTTGTATGAAATATCCAGAAACAAAAAACTATTTACATGATTGGCGAAACTTTATTAAAAAGCGGACTTTGTTTACAAATAACTTATTGAGCTTACATAGAAATTTATTGAAAGATAATTATGCTAATGACTTATTAAAACAACTTATACTATTGAATATAGGTTAATATTGTATAATTATTAATTATCTAGGCTGTGAATTGTATGCACCATTATTTTAAAAGTAAATGTAATTTAACCAGAGACATAATTACAGGAGTCCTGGTATTAAACTAGCCTTTATAAAAAAATTTTTGTGTCATTTTATTAACTTATTATGAATAACCCTCAGACTTGAGTTTTCTTCTTACTCAGCTTAATCCCAACTACTTGGGGTCGGCCACCCTTATCCTAAACTTCCACTTTACACAATCTCCCACATCAGCTATCCTCATATTGTATTCAATAGCATCCCTCCATCTCATTTTTGGTCTTCCTCTACCTCTTCATCCTACAACATTCATATCAATATATTTTTTTACAACTTCCGATTCTTCTCTCCTCATAACATGACCAAACCATGCAAGTCTATTATCTCTCATCTTATCCATGATTGACGCTACACCTATACTTCCTCTTATATGCTTGTTCTTTATCCTATCTTCTCTAGACACTCCACTCAACCATCTAAGCATTCTCATCTCTGCTCTACTATCTTATCAATCGCCCAACACTCTGAATCATATATCATAGCTGGCCTCACTACAGTCTTGTAGAATTTACCTTTCAGCCTCATTGGAATTCTTTTATCGCATAAGATGCCAGACGCTTCTCTCCACTTCAACCACCCGCACTTAATCTTGTGTCTTACATCCTTGTCAATACCACCGCTCTTTTGCACAACTGACCCTAAATACTTTCCACCTCTCCAATCACGTCCTCTTCTATTGTCACTAATTTCTTCATTTCACCTATCTCATGTTCTCTTTTGTCAAACTCGTACTCTATATACTCTGTTTTACTTTTACATATTTTTAAACCCTTTTCTTCAAGAGCTGATCTCCACAACTCTAGCCTTTGATTAATTTCCTCACTATTTTCTCCAATTAACACTATATTGTCGGCAAACAACATGCACCAAGGCACCTCTCCTTGTATTTCTCTAGTAATTTCATCCATCGCTATAGAGAATAAGTAAGGACTTAAAGCAGAACCTTGGTGCACTTCTACTCTTACTCAAAAACCTTCAGTTACTACTCCTACGCGTTTTATCCTGGTATAAGTGCCATCATACATATTTTCTATTATATTAATGTACCTCAATACAATTCCTTCATTCATTTAGAATTTTTCCTTCTAATAAGATTTTATTTAAAAGTTCCTTCAACCACCTTATGCCAACACCGCCTAATATTTTCCATACTTCTACTGGCACTACATCTGGTCCTACTGCTTAATTCTTTTTCATTGATGCCACAGACTCCCATACCTCTTTCTCACTAATTAAATCTACCAGTCCTTCATTCCACGAGAAATACTCTAATGTCTCTTTTGGGTACTCCTCATTCAATAATTTTTCAAAATACTTTTTCCACCTTTTTTCACATCATCACTCGAAAGTACCTTATTATCAACAATTTTTATATACCTTATATAATGATAATCTTTAGACCTTTTCTGTCTTACTTATACAAGTTTACAGATTTCTTTCTCGCTTTCCTTTGTTTCTAGCCTATCATACAACTCATGATACCTCTTAAACTTTGCCTTACTTACTGCACAAGCGTTTATACTCCATCTAATCTTCTCTCCTTTTGCTCTTTTGCCATACTATGAATTGCTATTTCTTACTTTCTATGATTTTTTGAACGTCCTCATCCACCATCAGGTTTCCTTATTTCCTGGCATTCTACTCCTACCAAAAAAAAAAAAAAAAAACCTCAGACTTGAGTGCACTTGAAATACTCATGTATAAGTTAAAATATAGTTCACAGCTCTGCTAAGTATTGATCCATTAATTTCAATTGTGTTTTCATTTATATTTTGTGTAATTATAACGTATCCAATATACGGGTGAGCACCACACACGCAATATATAATTTAGTATCACAGAAATAGTAACAGTAATACAAATAGGTCAATATACATTTATAAAGATGTCTACATGAAAAATACACTTTAATAATCGTATATATATATTTATATCGGTGAAAATGTCTTTTTCAATAACAAAACTAAAAAAGACGAAGAACACCTGTTATAGCGAACGTCGAAACGAAAATAACGCATTATCAATAGTACATGGTCGGCGAGACTTTAAGATCCTCAACACTAAGAGAAAATTAAAAAAACAAATAGTAAAAAATAAATCAATATTAATGAAATAAAAAACACATTATGTTTTATTGAATTCTTATTTATAACAAAAATTTTAATTTAAATCATACAAGCAATTGCCTTTTAATAATAACTGGTACTTATCATAATTTGGGCTAGAGATGTTGGCCGTACATCGATAATCGCGGCTATTACTTGAATATGAACAAACTGGACAGTTATTATTAAATATTTAATTTTTCTCGAGAGGACATATAGCGCTATCTCTACAGGTATAAATTAACAAAAAAAATGTCGCCAATTATTTGATTGCCGTGGCTTATCTGTGTGTATTTAATTTATGACTTTACACACATTATATTTAAATATCAATGAATTAGAATAAAATATGGTTATGGTATTAGACGAACCATAAAAAAACGCTTAGTGTCATCGAAGACCTCAGATAATTAACAGAACATAGATATCTATAATATAGATATCCTTATAATATTTATTCGAATATTATGTTTCAACTTCTTTACAGTTTTTTATTCAACATTTCATACAATTGTGAAATTATGTATCTGACGGTTACTGTAAAAAACTAACAAACTCATATTATTATTCAATATAAATATATTTAAACAATTGGAAGAAGGTACTTTACAAATAATTGTTAATGTTACTCACTATGTTTTGCAGAACTTTACCAAAAGCTAGTAAGTAAAATTTTACTATTATTTACTATAAAGATTGTGAGAACCTCACATTAACCTACCAAATATTTCTATATTAACAACCTGACTAAAAACTACATTGTACTATTGAAACGTATCATAGTTATACTAAATTATCGATAGAATTTAATTTAATTTAATAATATTGAACTAGTTACTGTATGTAATTTATATAGTTTAGTAAATTATATATTTATTTTGGATTAACATGTTTTATTGAGAACTCAAATGATAGTTTATGACTTGTGTTTCTTAATCTGGCTTTATGAAAATTATAAATTTAATGAAGGATATAAAAGTAAAATACATCTGTTATTCATACATTTTTATTTATTTATATATATATTTATGTAGTTGAAAAAAATGTAACTATTGATCGTGGTTGAACTGTAACAATTTCTTCAATATTACTCTATGTATATATATATTCTAACGTCTTCAATGGTTATGAACATTTAACTGTTGTTATTAATTATTTGTATAATTGTATGTTTATATTTATCATTTTTCTTAGTCAATTTTAAATTGCAATTATCTATGTATTCATTTTTTAAATTTTCTATTTTATTTTTTTCTTATTTAATTCTTAATTTTAATAACTAACTATTTATTATCTAAATTTTAATCAGTTTCAATAATTATCAACAATTAAATTTATTATTTTAGACGTGTTGTTATAGTGAATCTTATTTATCATAATTCAACAATGGAAAACAGTTCAGAACTTGAAGCTTTGAAAACCAGCTTGAAAAATAATGACATTGGAAAAATATCAGAACTTTTAGAATGTCAAACAAGTTTTATTACTAATGAAGCTGGAAACATAATTAACCTTCTAGGAATGGAGCTCACTAAATTTAATTTCTTAAAAAAACGAAATTATTTTGATTTTTGTGAATTACAGTTGCTTAACTTAGCAAAAAATATAAAATTTCAAGATAATATTTTTGATTTTCTGGAATTAGTTGAATCAAATAATTGTAGATTACTGTCTTCGGTTTCAGCTGCTGTAGCTATTATAAATACTATGGAAAATCCAGAACATATTTATATAGAGTATTTACTTATTGGGACTTTTAATCATTTAAATGAATTGGATGTAAATTGTTTACAAACTAATTTTCTACCCACTATACAAATCTTAACAAAATTAGATGAACAAATACAAAAAGAATTGTCAACATTATTTTATTTTACTAAATTATCTTATTTAGTGTTACAGATAGATATTAATCCTCTTGAATATCTAAATATTATTAGTGATATTATCTTTGATCCATTTTATTTGCTAGAATATGAATTTGAACAATCTGAAGATGAAGATCAGGAAATCAAATTTATCGCTTCATTTTTCTATCTTTATTTTAAAACTGGTAAATTATGGAATCCAAAAATTTATAATCGTTTTTATATTCTTCAAAAAATATCTTATTTAGCTCTATCTGTTTTTGATGATGACGATTTTGGAAAATCATTTACTAAATTAATTTTAATGAAGTATAAAGATAATGAAATCCCCTTATACATGCTAAATAAATGGCATGAAAAGTTTTTTATGGAGGCTGCACATAATTCTTTATACAATGAATCATTAAGTACGAGAAGAGATTCTTTTGAAATATTGATGATTTTTTTTGATAAATTAAATGAAGAAGCTCAGTATAATGTATTTAGAAAGACTTTTTCAAAATTAACTGATTCTGGTCTTAAAGCAGAATTAATAATTAAAATTAAACAAATCATTTTTTCAAGAATAAAAAATCAAAAAAATCTTGTCTATTTTAGTGGAATTCTCCTTTTGAAAATAGTACAACAATGTTGCGAAATAACTGATGGTAATGAATGTAATGTTGTTGAAAATAAAGAACATGTTTTAGCTGCCATAACACTTGTTTATGTATTATATGGATATAATGGTGATGGATTTAAATTTGATGAATTATTTACTAATTTTGCAAAAAATTTTGCCTCACTCGTCCAGAGTGCTATAAATTATACTACAGAACAATACAAATTAGAAAGTATGAAATTAAATAGCTCAAAAATCATCAATGATAATAATTCTTTAGTTCAAATTCAAAATATAGATCTTCCAAAACTAACTTTGAGTGAAAAACAAGATATGCTCTCTCAATATAATACTACTCTAAAATTGATTCAGTCTAATTTGGATTTATTCAAAAGCATTATTCAAAATAGAGGATAATTAAACATACTTGCATTATTCATTCAATCAATTCTTACATAAAACTATTACTTATAATTTTTAAAATAGGTTATTATATGTAATTATTTTAATGAAATTATATAAAGAATAAATTGTGTTCAATTATTAATTGTTTTTTTTAGTTAATTTTCCTTTTACAAAATTTATTTATTTTTTTTGTTATAATGACATTTTGAATTTTATTTAATGATTTTAAAATATGTCTTATGTAAAAAAATTAATATTTTAATATTTCTGATTCTATAAAATTTATTTTTTAGGTAGTATTTACAAGCTACTTACAGTTATAATTCTGTATAGTTGAACTATTGTAAAAAGAAATTTTAAATAACTTATTTTTTCTTTATACAAGGTGGTTCTTTTAATGCTAGCCACTCGATTCTCTTAAAATAATAATTATGCCAAGAAAAACAGTTTTGGCATATTTAGATTCATGTATTTTTCAATTTATTAGTTATTAATAACAATTATTCCCCACATATTATAAGAGTGTCAACTTAACTTTTTTAAGTATATAAAAAAAAAAAACTATCTAACTAAGAAAATAACTGGTTGGTTATAAATAGTATTATAAATAATTTTTAGGTTCGATGCAAAGCTGAGAAGATATTGGTTTTACCATTATGTGTTTTTTTTTGTGTCTGTTAATACTTTTTCTCAGTTCTTACTGAACCAATCTCTTCAAACAATATGTCAAAAAATCACATATCGTATCTAGTCAACGACATAACCCTCAAAAATTGAACAAATTTTCCTCGTTCCCCGTAAATTGGAGGAAACCTCCAAAAAAATTACAAATTTAAAAATCGTAAATTTTTGAAATTTTTTTACTTAAAACTGGCATAATTTTTTTAAAAATGAACAAATCAGTATAATTTTTTTTTTTATAGATGCTTGATGTTTTTACTTATTTGGTATATTTTTTTTATAAATTTGACCCTTTACCTGACTACCGAGGGGATTCAAAATGACAACTTTTTCACAAAAAATTTACTTTTACACTTAACTTTTGAAAGTGTTCCGGAAAGTCTGACACTTTTATATATATCTTAAATTAAAGCTAATATAGTGTACTTTATTATGGAAAAAAAAAATTCGGACTTTATTTTGTCTTCATGGTGAAAATGGCTACCAAATGCTATTTTTGTGTAAAAATTATCGATTTTATTTTTTACATTTTTAACTTTATAATGCTATAACTTATTGAAAAGTTTATGGATCAATACAATTTTTTTATGAGAAATAATATATATATATCCCTTTTTCATTCGACATACTTTATCTTAATCAGTATATAAATAAGGAAATAGCAGATCATGTAGCTTTTGGAATAATCCACCAATTTTTTTAAATTAATCACTATCTAAAGATTTGCATCGAAGCTTTTTTTTTATAGTGATTTTAATCACTGTCAGATATCATTATACTTGATCCAACTGTGCCACGTCACCCTGTGCTGGGTTTTTTATTTTATAAGTTATTTAAATATATATGTTGTAATTAAAAAAAATTAAGTTGACACTCTTATAAGGTAATGGGGATGAATTAAAAATGTTATTAATAACAGATAAATTGAGAAATACATGAAACTAAATATATTAAAAATATTTCTCTTATAATAATTATTATTTTAAGAGAAATTGAATGACTAGCTTTAAAAGTATCATCTTGTAAAGTAAAATGTACTATAAATCATGTTTTATTTAGTATAATATTTAAGTTTTAAACACACTTTTATTTAATAGTCATTTCTTTTACAGATTTACATACAAAAGTGAATAGTTTGTTTTCAGTTTGTTTATATTTGAAAGATGTAGTTGGTTCAAGATCTTATAATAATAATGAAAAACCTATAGATAAAGATATTCATCAAGATATTTCAAATGATGATGAATATGAAAATAATATCAAACATAAAATTATGTTATCATCACTACCTTTTGTTCCTACTCATGGATGGACTAAAGAAACTGTTTGTGCTGGTACTCATTTACAATTTTTATTATACTATCAAATGGGCCAAATTGAGGTGTTAGTTAAACTTGAGGCAGCTAAATATTTTACAGATTTCTTCACTTAATTTTTGTGAATAAATAATTTGTATTTCTTAACAATACATAAAAAAATTTTACTTGTTCTGTATATTGATACGACTAAAATGATAATAGATATTTAACTGTCCTAACTTGGTCCACTTGACGATAATAATTTTTTTAATAAGAATTTATTTTAATAGGTGCTGGAGAACTTGGTTATCCCGATACTATTCATGGTTTATTTACAGACCCTGGTGCTGACTTAGCATTATACTTTTACACTATGAGTAACAAAAAATTGGCTCAACTATTACAGAATGGTGAACTCAAATGCTCCGGACAAGAGTAATTTTTTTCAGTAATAATTTATTTATAGTTAAAATTTTAATAAGAGTATACTTGCATTTCAGTAAAAAAGAACTAGTCAATTTCCTTACAAGTACCATACAGACTAGGTTGTTAATGATACATCCTTATTTGAAACAATGGCCTCAAGCTATGGCTTTATTGTCTAAACCATCAAATGCTCCACGCACACTCTATAATTTGATGACTCTAGTAGATGATATTTGTTTTTATGCTGGTGAACGTTCGATAGACGTAAGTTGTGTTGTACAATAAAATTTTAACATCCACAAAATTGTTTTTTTGTTAACAGACCACGTGGTATACACGTCGAATAGGATTGGGAACTATTTACAAAACCAGTGAGTTGCATTTATTACAAGACAGTTCACCAGGTTATAGAGATACTTGGAATTTTTTGAAAAAAATAGTTGAGGAATGTGTTAAGTATGACACTATGTTACAAAGTAATGCACAGTTAGCTAAAGATGTTGTTAACGCATCTGTTTTAACAGTAAGTAGACATATTATTATACAAAAAACAGCAGTATAATTTATTTATTAAACATTTTTCAGGCTAAAAATATTTTGGGATTTACATGGAACAGATAACAATATCATAAAGTTGATGCTATACTAGTCAATCATATTAAGAATATTTGAAATACATCATTATATTGAAATTCATGGTTGTTCAAATTATTCATCCAATCAAATATTTAAATAATATATGTTTGTTTTTAAATATTTGATATGTTTATTTTTTTTTCAAAAATGTTTTATTTCCTTTTTCAAAATGGTTTTATTACCATTTCATAGCTAATAAACTATAGTTATTAAAAATAGAAATTATTTTATTAAATATTCATAATAGACAAAATAGAATGTTTAGATGACAAGTTTATAATATTTAACATTATATCAAAATTAATATATAAATTAAACAATCATTAACAAAATTAACTAAACAATTTTTTAAATAATTATATAGTAGTCAAATAATTACTGAATAATTGTGAAATTTTTAAGACCCTATCTTATACAAGTAATTAAACTCTTAAATTAAAAATACAGAGCAAATTTCAAATATTAAGTATTAACTGAAGTTCATTTTTAAAATTATTTATTAATAAAAATTAAAGCGTGAAAATCTAAGTAATTATAGTCTAGTGAATGAGCAAGAATATTCTAACCTAAAAATTGCTTAATTTCATTTATATTTTTAGTAAACAACATTTAATTATATAATATATCATAATATTTAAATAAAATACTAAAAATAACTATTACTAACACTATTTACAGATATTTTCACTAAATCAAAAGAATTAATGTATTAAAAATTAATTTAAATATAAATATATTTATACAATTCTTTAACAATAGTATCACAGATTAAGTTGAAGCGATAGGAAAATATTACATCTTACCATATTATATAATTTTAATTTAGAGTAATAATCTGATTATTTGTTAAAATTATTGCTAAGATACACACGTTATTGAATGATCTCATTAACACAACCGTTTGCTTTTTTAGTAGAAATTCTTTTGATTGTCTAAAAGTTCACTAAATAATCAAATTAGTTTAAATGAAAGAACACATTTTTAATGTTCGTGTCCTTAATTCATACATTTTGTTCAATATAATTTAAATGCAAATTAGAACAACCAAATTATTATAATCATTTAAAATGATCATTTACATAAACATGTAGTGATCAAAATTTTATTTTATAGAATATTTTCTTAAGTATTAATGAAAATATAAAATAGTATTTTAAACAAAAACGTTTTTATAATTATTAATACCATTAGTTATGTTAAATTTGAATTTTTTAAAAATGTCTGAGGGTTGTATAAGGATTAACTATGAAAAATCAAACGAAAAATGTATTTTTTTAAATTTTTTTTTATAAATAATACTGTTAAAAAAATATTATTTTTCAACTAAAGCCTTTTAATTTTTACAAAAATGAAGTTTTTTTCCAGTTTTAAACATTACATATTACAAGATTAATAGGAATAGAATGTCTAAATTAATTTAGATTATATACTGAAATAAAATAACAAAATTTATTCAAATTTCAATTTTATTTTAAAGTCAAAAAGCTATGATTGGAATTTACAGTTTATAATACTTTTTTCATTAGTAATATTTACAAAAAAATGTTCATCTTTCATTAAAAAAAACATTTGTGTCCATTTTATTTTTAAAATACGACCCCTTAAATACCTCCATAGATATTTTTGAAAAATACAATTTAAACATAATTAAATGTATTAAATTTTCGAAAATACCTTTTTATTTGAAATATCTTTTTTACTTTTAATGATTTTTGATATAAGTCTATAATATGAAATTTTGATCAATTTAGGTTACATATAGGCGTAAATAATTGCTTGTTTTGGCTAATTAGGACCCCCAAACAGATTTCGCCATTCTTTTAAAATTATGTAATGAAAATAAAATAATTAATTACTGCAGTAATTTTATCCATAGTTTAATAATTTTATATTATGAGTATATAATGTTGTCTGTGTAGTATATTTCATTTTAAACATAGTAATATGTTTTGGTTTCAAAAATTATAGTTAAAATTTAACAGTAGTAGTAAAAAATGTATGTACACAATGATATACATAATTATATATTTATGAATGGATAAAAAAAAGGTTGAAGATATTATTTTAGGCTGAGCAAGGAAAAAATGTTTTTTTCCTTTGGAACATAAGCACCCCCAAGTTTAAAACAATATTTGCGCCTTTGGTATTTAGTTAATTTTTATTTTTTTTATAGATAAAAATTAATAATTCACAGTCCTGAGACAATTTTCGCCTTTATAAGTTGAGTGTCAGTCAGAAGCTGTTACTTTTTTAATTTCTTGATTTTTGACTTCATTTATTTTCTGAGAATTTTTTGTGCATATAACAGAGTTGACATTAAGCAAGACTAATGATGGCAAGGACGTAAAGTCATGTATACTTTTCTCATTTTCAAAGTCTGATTCGCCATAACAACCACAATCACTAACAGTTTTATTTTGAAACCTATTTTGAATTTGATTATTAATATATTAATACTTAATAAAATAAAAAATTAGGTTATTAAGAAAACATTCTTTAGGAAATATTGCAATGTTAAACGATTAAAACTTATGTTCCGCCGTAGAGAGCCTAATTTGAGCGTATTATTTAATAAATATCGTGCATCAAAAAATGTTTTAGCTTTCTACGAAAAAGAGGTTCAACATAGTTATCTGATCAAGTTGCATGCGACAGCACGTGCGTCGCTTTTCTTCAAAAAATGGATATGTATTAAAATATAATTACTCATACAGATCAAATTGTTATCGATCAAAGTATTTCAGCTCAATTATAAAGTCAAAATGAATCACTAAGAAAAATGATAGTAGAGCATTAAGCGAGCAATGAACAGTTGAAACTCAATAAGTTAATCAGCAAGTAAATAGTAATATATATATACACAGATATGTATATAAAACAATTAATAAAAATAACAATTTTTCCTTTAATAAACCGGGTTGTAACTCATATGTTTCATTTAGTACAATAAAAAAACAAGTAAACGAAATAATAAAAATCTATCAAACTAGCGCTAAATGTGTATAAATCCTCCATCAACTGCCAGTGGTGTAAAAACAACAATTTCATTTCTGATTTAATATGCATAGATATCATATTTTAAAGCTGTATTTTTTTAGATTAAAAATAGATCGTCTGAACAAAACATAGATTTGCTATAGTGAAACAACTGCCAGTATTTGGAAATATTTAAAAAATCTATTTACGTAAAATGTTCTGAAGAACATAAAAAAAAAAACTAAGCACAGGGGCATCGCAACACAGTGGTGACGTGACATAGTTGGGTTAAGTATAATGATATCTGACAGTGATTAAAATCACTATCATAATAAACGCTTCGATGCAAATCTTTAGGTAGTGTTTAATTTTAAAAAATTGGTGGATTATTCCAAAAGCTACATGAACTCCTATTTTCTTATTTATATCCTGATAACAAATTTTATGATTTATAAGTGTAATATATGAATATATATATATATAAAGGGAAATGCTATTATTTAAAAAAAAAGTATGTCGATTGAAAGAGGAATATAAATATTATTTCTCATAAAAAAATTGTATTGATCCATACACATTTCAATAAGTTATAGCATTATAAAGTAAAAAATGTAAAATATAAAATCAAGAATTTTCATACAAAAATAGCATTTGTTAAATATTTTCACCGAGAAGACAAAATAAAGCCTGAATTTTTTGTTTCCATAAAAAAAAATATATTACATTACCTTTAATATAATATATATATAAAAGTTTCAGAGTTTTCGGAACACTTTCAAAAGTTAAGTTGAAAATGTTAATTTTTTGTAAAAAAGTTGTCATTTTGAACCCACCACTGTGGGCTGGTAAAGGGTCAAATTTATAAAAAAAATATATCAAACGATAGGTAAAGATATTATGCATCTATAAATAAAAAAAAATTATATTGATTTGTTCAGTTTTACAAAAATAATGGCAGTTTTAAGTAAAAAAAATTTCGAAAATTAGCGATTTTTAAATTTGTAATTTTTTTTTAGGTTTCCTCCATTTACGGGGAACGAGGGAAATTTTTAAATTTTTGAGGGTAGTGTCTTCGACTAGATACGATTTGTTATCTTTTGACGTATCGTTGAAAGAGATAGGTTCAGTGAGAGCTGAGAAAAAGTAGTAACAGACAAAAAAAAAAAACACATCATAGTAAAACTAATATCTTCTCAGTTTCACATTGAAGCTAAAATATTACTGAAAACCAAAAAAGTGAAAATCGAAACTTGCTAAATGTGGTAATGTTTACAATGCAAATGATAAAGGCTGTTCAGACTATAAGAAAGCAAAAGAAAGAACTCATCCAAAAAAGTATTTGCGGTTAAATTAGAAAATAACTAATTTAAGAAAAAAAATAGTAACAAAAAAAAGTAATGAACTTTATATTGCGAACATAGTGTTCGCATTCTAATTTTCGTTAGTATAGCAAAAAAATTATAATTCGAAAATTCTCTACATCAGATGATATAGATTCACTTCTTATCGTGAACTTAATGAAAATAAAAGAATATGTTACTTATATCACCATCTAACTAACATAGCAAATGGAATTACAGCTATATTTATGAAGGAGACTATCAATTACTATGAGCTAGACAAATCCTCAAAAAATAATTTACTAACAACAGGTGTCCTTGTTTGAACTCGACACTCGGTGATAATCCACGGGTAAGTTAACGTTAGTTCATGTTATCTCTAATGATGCAGGAGAAAGAAGTAGAGAGTGGACTGTATGAAATGAGTGAAACGTATTTAAAGAATACATAAATATTAACTGCATAAAAAAAATTAACCATAAATATTATTTATATCAATTTGGGTATGAGGACACTTAATGTTAATGCAATAACGCATCAAAATAAAACAAATAAGAAAAAACAATATACTAAGAAAACAAAATGTCACTTGTAAAAATATTCTCGTTCTCTAATAAACTTAAAATATCTAATGATATCAACTCGGTAGTTTGTAATATCACCAATAATATATCAACTCACCGAAAACTGCAGTAAAAAGAACACGAGAAATCGTTTACTTAATAATTAAGTAAATAACAATTATTGTAATAAGAAAATTGGTACGGCTATATTGAACACTTTGGAGAATCTGGCATAGGACGAGACATCTTACTAACAAAAAAAATGGAACCATATCAGTCCGATACTCTACAAAAAGATAAAAGAGTGAACTTTTTGGAAATCCATTAAACAATTTAATACATGTACCACCTATTCGTAAAGACAACACTTGAACACGAAAAAGCTGAAATATACGTTCGCTACTTGGAAATGTATTTTAACCTAACGATATAGCTCAGAACTTGACGGGTTTCACGGTTTATAATTATATAAAAATCGTGAGAAAGTAAGATACTTTCCGTTATTAGAAGGAGCATAAAAATTGATAACAATATCAATGTAAAAAAAGCATTGGGTTACGATGAAATCAGCCCGAGAATCATAAAATTATTACCTAAGAAGATTATTGTTCATTTTACATATATCTTCAATGTCAATGTTATTTTGCGAACTGAATATGTCCCAGAACTTTGAAAAAAGCTCAAGTCATTATGTTGTCAAAACCAGGTAAACCATATGAATAGGTAACATTTAAATAACTAATATCAATACTATCTTTACTGTCTATACTTTTCAAAAAAGTTCTTAAAATTATAAAACTACCGTTTAAGAGAAATAGCCTTTACTTGATCACAACTTGGATTCCGTACTAAACACTCTACAAACGACTAAGTTAATCGAGGTACCAACGTGATTAACCAGGTCTTCAAAGGAATTAAAGTATTGTTATGTAGTATTCTCAGATTTTGCAAAGGTATTTGATAAAATTCGACACAAATGTCTATTTGTGTCAAACATGAAAACATGAAATGAGATAACCGAACCACATTAACCTAATAGCCATTTAATTTTTGGACAACTCTGAAGACATCAAACGTTTAAAATGTTATAAACCATAAAGTGGTTAAGGCACTACTTTACTGGAGGCGTAATACATTACATGTGAATTTTTTATTAATTGTTTTAACACTGTGTTTCATATACAATTATTGTAAAATATGTTTATATATAAGATAGTTTTATTGTTTAAATAATGAAGACACTTGGTAGTTTAAAAAAAAAATTAAAAGGTTAAATAATAAATAAATAAATAATTAATATTAATAAACTTAATAGATAATTACTGAAACTTTTTATTTTGTGATTCGTTGGGTTTTGATTTTCTTTTCGTCACTGAATCTTGATTTGTTTTTGTAATTACAGTCCAACTATCTTGTGATTCATTTTTCTTTATTAACTCGTAAGATTGTTTCTGTCTGGTATAATAATTCATTCTGCTATAAAAATGCTATTTTTTAAATGTAAATAAATTATAAATGTACTTATTACTATAACTTGTTCCCTTACTATAGTATTTAAATAATTTAAATAAGCACAGATAAACGAGTTATTTATTTCAGAGAAAAAGGTTCTTTTGTATTTTGCTATTTATAGAGTTAAATTAATGTAAGTAATGATTTTCTTTTTATTTGGAAGGCAATGCTTCTAAAGTTAAAAATACGCTATAGTTAACATACTTAGTATCATTGAGGCTGTCAGTGGATGAAGAAGAACTAGGTATGACTGTCTGCTGAGATCTTGATCGTCGTCTGGTGTTGGGTTTGGTTCTGTACATTTTTTTTTCGATTCTACCAGGTACATCTAAAAGACTAGCTTCAGGGGTGCAGCACGTTGTTACCGGTATCCTTCTTTTTTTTTCTCGTTTTTTTCCACCACCCAAACGCTTTTTTGTTGTACAATCCGAACTAGTAAAGTCGTAAATGCTATCGGAATCAGTATTACGACCATAAAACATTGATGAGAATCTAAATACAGTTTTATCACTTAAAGGACTCTCGCTCCGAGAACTCACTGGGCTTTTCTCGAGGATATCTGTTGATAGATGAAGAGATGACGGGTACTGTTGAATGGTTATGGATGGCAATGAAAATCGGTAAGAAGATGAGGAAGACGGATCGGAAATAACTGTTGAAGAGCAGGATTCTATATGTGGATCATTTGTTGTCAATTGATTAGTTATACTGTCATCTATAATATTACAAGTTTTTTTACTTGTTCGAGAATCACGATGTAGTAACTTCTTAGAATTTGGTGGCTCTGTATGAAATCCTTCGTCATCGTTTTCCGAGAAAGTAGTCTCTTCTGAATCAACTTCCCTTATACCTGGAGGAGCGTGGATTAGGGGTGATGATCGTCTGGTTGGCTGTTGCTCTTCTGATTCTAATGGACACAGTCTAGTATTAGAATTACACCGAGATGGTCCGGAACTATAACCCGATGAACTCAGATTTGATTCTGATGCTATCCGATCAGCACGTGAGCACATAGAAAATGGACTTAAATAACACATTCCATTGCCATTCCCACCAACACCAATCCCACTGTGTTGTGATGAGTCTATACCATTCTTGGTTGTTGTTACTGATTCAGTATCCGAATCACTCATACACGTTACTGTTATGACAGGCGGGGGTGCAGGTAAATCTAATGAAATTGGTTTATCCAAGTCTTTTAACATTTTTCGACCTAAATTTTTCTCCTTGTGAGGTGGAGGAGACCCCGGAAATTCCATGCTTGGTGAATTTATAGGAGTAGGCTGTTGTACAACTAATGTAGGTATCGGTTGTAACTGTTGTTTCATAGTTGACTCTAATTTATTATTATTGAATGGAAACTAAAGAAAATTAATTATTAACACAATTATGATATAAATATTAAATTCAAGTTCGATATACTTGATTATCGTGATCTTTAAAATATCCGAAGGATGATTTTCTGGATGTAATAGGAGTAGGAGAAGGTGATGGTATCGGCGTTGGCATCTCGTGGATGGGTGATAGGCAATCCATTCGATAATTTGGCACTTCTAAAAGAATGGATGGAGGATGTTGTAAACTATTTAACGAGTTATTTGAGCAGTTTCTTTGAGAACTCAATACATCGATCACTGGTATCTAAAAAACATTTTTAGCGTTAAATTTATAAATTTCGATAATTATAGGATTTAATTTACTTGAATTATGTTAGAATAACGGTACCGAGTTGGCGATTCTTTACCCCCTCCGCTTGGTGAATGTACTGTGTTAGATATTGAAGATTCATCTTCACTACATCCAACTATCTCATCCTGGAGACTGGAACAACTAGGTGTGGTGGATGCTGATAAATAATTACCCATTTCAGTAACAGCAATAGTATGGTTTAAATTTCGAAACATGGCTAATATTGAGTCAGCACTCATTGCCTTTTGATTACCTGATTGTTGTTGATATTCATTTAAAAGTAATTGATTTGATTTTCGACAATTTTCTACAAAGAAAAATATATATTATTAGTTAAAAATCAAAGAACGTATCTTAAATTTATTTTTTTTTTTAAAAACGTGTAATTTTTTTCAATAGCTAGCTAAAATGTAGCCTATAATTAAATGTGTAGCCACTATTTTGTATTTTGTTAAACAATTTAAGACTATTAAAATTTGTAGCTAATTATATTTCAAAAATTATATTTAACCATGTTAAGTACGAATAATTTAAGATACACTAGTACGAATGTATTTTAATTGATCTAGTGGCTATTTTATAATCATTTACAGCATTTATTCTAATATTCCTAAGATCTAAGTACGTGCCAAACGCCTAATAGTTTTATTTGTGCAGATTAATAATTTGACTAATAATTAACATTTAATTATCAATTACGTTTTATTCGAGCAAGAGTAGTTCGTGCTAAATAATGTTTAATGTTAGTCTGTAACAATATGATGGTGCAACTATTCGGTAATATAAACGCGAAGGGTTTGTTGGGGTTATAAAAATTATGAACGTTATTTTTAAATTAGAACCAAAATCGTCGTTAAAATGTGTACCCAAAGCGAATTCCAGACTGGACATAGAGTCACTGCCTTGGTTGAGATTTGGTCGGCGTAACATCCGCTTGGCTTGAGCATCGGCTTCAGAACAACTGGTAGAGCTCATTTCTGATTGAAATTTGTTCATCAATCGAGCAAATGTCACTTTCTTCTCAATTTTTTGCATTGCCTCATCTGAAGTTCATCCCAAATTACAAACATCGCGTTTATATATATATATATATACATATATTATACACGTGTGTATGTACATTTTAACAATTGTAAAATAAAATAAAAATTCTAAAAAAGCCAAACTTTATTATACGTACCTAATGAACAATCATTTGAGAAACTTGTTTCTTGTGATCTATGTGATGATGGCAAAAATATATCGTTAGGGTCTATATTATTTGTAGATAATTTATCTACAAGGTTTATTTCATCATTAAAACTAGCTTGTCGTACTAAACCAGGAGATATTAACTGTTGAAGTATTTCTGATTTGTCCGCAATGGAAGTTCGAAGTCTCGACGAAACTGCACTTTTTTGCTTCGTTCGGTGTTGACTGAACCCTATACGTTTTTTTTTAATAGAAAAATTACGTGAATTATGTATACGTTTACTTTTATTATACAGTATTCGAATAGTTCTAAAAATGTTCAGATAGTTCTTTATATATGAATAAGTTTTAAAATTAAAAAAAAAGTACAATATGAAGCAATGGCGACGATCCCTATACACATATATTGCGCTCACGATACATATATTTAGGGGTTGGTATATTGAGGAACATGTTTCTCTGATAAGTGTTTTTCATTTCACGTAAAAAATACTTTAATAATAAGTAATGAGCAAAAAAAAAAACAAAATTTGGAGGTAATAGTATTTATGAATTTATTTTATCATGCAATAGTCGTAAAATTTGACATTGGCGCTACTAATAAATAGTACATCTACCGCATTAAAATATATTTAAATATTTGTGTATTTTAGCTGGAAGTTTACTCTAGTAACTAGTTAGCATAGCATTAACAGACTATTTTGTTATTATATCGATGTGTTATTATGATCACTTATTTATAAACTTTAGCAATAACGTAGGAGTTGTAGAAGATGAATTTTTCGGATTACCCAAACCAATAGGTACAAATCTCAGAGTTTTAAAAAAGTTGTCAAAAATTCGAATACTGTATTCTTTTTTTGTATAATAAATAAGATAAAAATTATGTACTAAGTGAAACATCAATAAATAATTGTATTGAAATCATTCATTAATGAAATATGAAAAAGAGTATGTTCAATCTAAAGTAGATGTGTCAACTACATAGATGCATGTAGATATTACATGTGTACTAATATTATTTAGATCTAGTATAGCATCAAATACTTATTACTTTTGTATAATCTAGTAATTTCTATAATAAAGTAAAAATATTAAAATTTTATCAATGAATTTGATAACTTATGTAATGATAATAATAAAAAATATTACTATAACATAGGTGAAGTATTATACTGAAAAACACAGAAGTATATAAAATAGTGTTAGTGCAAAATATAATGTGAAAATATACAGAAGTGGGAATAGATTGAAGAAAGGGACATAGTCGACACCTTACTCGGAACTTGTGGCCTGAGCAAGTCGTCCAGGCTGAACGTACGAGCCGTTCTACCGGATTGTAATGGACTGGTGAGACTCATTAATGAAGGTTTTCGTATACCCAATCGTCTGAGGAACGTTTTAGCTTGAGGCTGTTGTGCAGTTGGTGAGTTTCCTTCATCAGAAGGTGTTGCTCCATTGGTCATCACAGTTGGTACTAACAATTCGCTTCGCATGCTTGACATCCGACCCGATGCATTCACTGTAACTGCACAATAATATCGATATATTTATAACTATTTTGCGGAAGAGGGATAGAAATTAATAATATTTAAAATTCCTTAGAAGTAATTTTGTAAGCGTCTGATCTTTATCGGAAAGAATAACAATTATAATAAAACATTAATGCGTGATGTCAAAATATTTTAACTGTCAAAATAGTATTGTTCCGATAAAATAAATTATTTTTACTTGTCATTGATTTTGAATGAATTTTCTTTGATAATTTAAGTTTTCGGTTGTTTGGTTAGTTTAATTACATGCATGAAAATGTATAATTGTGTTTTACTATAAGAGAAAATTCTTCGAATTATGACAAGAGTTATAGAGTTTTTTTTTATTAGCAGGTGCTATATATTAAAAATGAACTTATATTTAGATATTCGTTTTATTTTAACTTATGAACAAAACTTAAAAAATATATACATCTAGTAAAATTCTGTATATTTCTTTTTAAAACATGATGAGTAGTAAAAACTATCAACTGAAATATTTTATATTATTTTCCACGATTTTTTTCTGCTTTATATGCTTTTGGAATACACTTATTATTAACAATATAGAACGATATTGTAATAAAGTCAACTTACAATATTTTATTTCAAAAGGCAAATGTAGCTAAAGTATTGACCATAAATTTTAGCTATATGTAAAAAGTTCTATTGTTAATATTTTATCTTTTTTTTTATTATGTTTTTTAAAGAATTTACAGAACATAAATCATGTTACACAAACATTTTTCCACTATTCAAATAATAATATGTAAGAATATACTCATTGATATTTTGTCAAATCTGTCAAAAATGCATGTATTATATAAATTATAAAATAACATTATTGACACCATATAAAATTATTAAATAACTTAATTTAATTAATTTAAGTTTCATAACAAAATTTGTGAAATTTATTGTTGATAATTGCCATCTAAATAAATGACTGGAATTTGATTCATGGTAAGCTTTTCATATAGTCTAACTGTTTTTAAATTCGTCTAAAATAATTAGAGACTTCTATAGAATTATAGAATTATTTACACTATTTTTTATAATAAATTTCTATTCTATATAAATTTTAATTTTATCTTAAAATAAAATTTATTGTTAACAGTTTGATAATACTAGTTTTTATAAAATGTTTAGGCTTAAAGGAGATATTGGAAATAAGTTTTTAATATAACTATAATATTTAAAAATAGATTTCCACTACATATATCAATATTTACATTAGGCGATAAAATAAATATAGAATATTTAACTTTTATACTTCAAATTATTATTTGTTATAAATTATCAATAATGACAATTTCCCTAAACTTCCCTGTTTAGACTTCTCTCGATGTTTAAATATTAAATTATATAAAATTTCTCCATAATAAAGAGGAACTATCACAAAAATTTTATTATAGACGAATTGATTTATTCCATTTATAATTTATTATTATGGTGTTATTATAAACTAGTCAGCTTACAGTGTCTGCTGCGTTCAGCTTCTTCAGACAAAATTTTTTCTATTTTTTCGGGTACGTGACGCTTGGCACACCATATTAAGCCCAGTATTCCCAAAACCATGAATACAGTTAGCAGACCAAGCCAGAATGGTTCGTGTAGCATGCGCTCTGTCAGCGGTTTGTACGTGATGTAAAACATTTTCTTTTCGCACTGATTCCCTATGGTGAATAAATCAAAAAGTCAATATATTATACTTAAGAGTACTGTTCAGTCTTTTAAGTCACTGCACGTTGTCATTGTATTCTTACCCGTCCAATATGTGTAACATCGACATTGGTATTCCAAGTCTCCTAACGCTATGCATTCTCCATGGTCCTTACATGGATTTAGATCACATGGTTTGATCTTTTCATTGCAGAATTTTCCCGTATATCCATACTGGCATTTACAATGGTACCCATTATTACCAGTCAACTGGCACTCGCCAAAAACGCAATGTCCCAAATCACAGTGGTTCAACGAACAGAATAGACCTGAAATCATTCACAAGTTTTTACCATGACATAAAATTATATACTAAGCGAGAAATGGAGGAGTAGTACGGTACCTGTATGATTTCCTTGGCATTTACAAAAGTACATTTGTGAAGCATCACTGAGCACGCACGTGCCACCATTAACGCAAGGGTTTGGTGTACAAGTTTCTATTTGCGTGCGATCCGTTTCCGGTCGTTTAGACAGTGTTATTAGTTTGTTTTTCCACTCAGGGTCTGTATAAAAATTACCAGTAAACAATATATAAAGTATTTGATGTAAATTTATCTTAAACCTAATATTCAACAATGATTATTTATCAATATTGTTTCAATCGCATGTACTAAGTGATTAATTAAAATCACTCCAAGAAAAGATACTCAGTTTCACGGAAACTATTAAATATTTTTAATTTTTGTAAAGGAAAAAAATGTTTGATTCAAAAAATGTACAATAAGATGAAGTTAAATAATTTTATTTCATCTTTTTAGGATAAAACCTAAGATTTAATTGTCTTAAATAGGGACTCTAATTTTTTGATTAATATGATAAAAAAAAATTGTTTTCAATCAATTTTGTTTTTTAAATTTTTTTATTTGATTTTTTATTGCTTGTTAAAATTAGTGATTTTTGACCAATTTTCTATTGATCATATGCTGATTAGTAAAATTTTATTTATATGTAGTATAATTTTTTGAATCAAACAGTTTTTTCTTATATAAAAATAGAAAAATTGCAATAGTTTGAGTAGATAAGTATTTTATTCTTAAATGACCTTGTCACCTTGTATAAATGGTAGGAATAAACTTCAATAAATTAATAATATAAAATCCGTAACGATATTTTCACAACAGTTCACAATATTGATATTTAGAAACTATGTTTGTTAAAACAAATTACGCTGGCGCGTCTTTTAAAAAATGCACCAAAAATGTGTTATATCATTTGAAACTGTACATATTGTAACAGTTAATAAACATTTTATACAATAAAAATAAAAGATTACCATTTTTGACACTTATTGATATATTGATTGATGTTAAAATGCTGGCCTGTTTTTTATTGTATATGGTAACAATGGAAATTGTGTTGAGATAAGATGATATTGAAATAGGCACTGATTTGAGATGATCAACATTTTCACATAATAGCCACCATGTTCCGTTTTGGGAAGCGTAGTGGTCATGGATTTCTATTATAGTACCAGAATCGTGGCCCGGACAAATTGTACGTCCTAATGTGGTATCCACTATATAAAACATGTTATTTACGAACAAAATAATTTTACAAATTAATCTATAAGATACTACTACTAAATAATATTATGATGAAATAGTAAAAATTTTTCATTAAAATTTATTTATAATGAATTATGTATGTAAAGATAACATAATTCTATGTAACTTGTTGATATAGTTTAGATTTACACTACTCTCTGTTTTATTTATAACTCAAACTGTTTAATTTTTAATTTAAATAGAATATTTTTGTATGTATTATAACTAATTAAAAACTTACTTTGCGCCGGAACCACATGATTGAACTGAAGTTGTATGAAGTTTCCTATAGATGCCTTGAGTCTTTGTCTATAACGAATACTAGGAATATGCATCGGTAATGGATAGTTTAGTCTATACATAAAACCAATAGAGTTGTTCGGTAATAATATTGATCGTTCTTCATTGAAATCGGTTACTAAATATGAAAATAAAAAATTAAATATCATAAAGTTAAAAGTATTTACGCATTATAATATTAAACTTATAGTTTTAATGATTAAAATGTATAGGATTTCTTTAAATAATAGTGATAGTGTTTAAAAGTAAATATAATTTTTTAAAAATTGGTTGAAAATATGATTTACATTGTCAATGACACATTTTTATAGTGTTTAAATAGAAAATGTGGTTGTTTAAAAAAATGTTTGTTACATATTTAAGCAAATATTATTATTTATTGAAAAAATCATAAAAAAGTCTTGATGTTAGCATAAATTTCGTTTAAAATCTAACGAAGAATTGTATAGGAGTTTCATAATTGGCATTTTAAGATTCAATTATTAAGCTTCGATGCGAAGCTGAGAAGGTATTAATTTTACTATGATGTGTTTTTTTTTAATTTTTAATTTTTTTTTTGTGTTCATAACCACTTTCTATTAGCTCTCACCGAACCGATTTCTTTCAATAATACGTCAAAAAATCACAAATCGTATCTAGTCGAATAAATTGCCCTCAAAATTTGAAAAAATTTCCATCGTTTCCCGTAAATGGGGTAGATCTCCAAAAAAATTACAAATTTTTGAAATTATTTCAATTTTTTTTACTTAAAACTGCTATAAATATTTCAAAAATGAAAATTTAATATAATTTTTTTTTATAAATTGCATGATAATTTTACCTATTGTTTGATATATTTTTTTTATAAATCTGACCCTTTACCTACCCACAGGAGGGATTCAAAATGATAATTTTTTCACAAAAAATTAACTTTTGAAAGTGTTCCGGAAATACTGACACTTTTATATATACCTTAAATTAAAACTTATATAATATACTTTATTATTGAAAAAAAAAAAACGTTTGGACTTTATTTTGTCTTCACAGTGAAAATGGTTACCGTATGCTGTTTTTGTGTTAAAATTCTCAATTTTATATTTTTACTTTTTTAACTTTAAAATGCTACAACTTTTTGAAAATGTATGAATCAATATATATTTTTTATAAAAATAATATTTATATACTTCTTCATTCGATATACTTTTTTTTTAAATCGGACTATTATCCTTTATACAGGGAGAGTTCAAAACTTAAAAATGCATATAGAAAGTAGAACTTTTTCAACTTAATTTTATGTTAAAGCTTATGTAATATACTTTATTATGAAATAAAAATATTTCAGACTTCATTTTTTTTCATGGTGAAAACTAACACCAAAGTTAATAATTAAAATACGATTTTTATAAAAAAATTCTTTTTTATATTTTTAACTTTATGTAAAATCTATGGATAATTATAATTTTTTTAAAATAAGTACTATTTATATTCTTCTTTTATGCGACATACTTTTTTTTTATCGGACCATTTCCCTTTATATATTATAAATATGGGAATATGGGAACGAGAGAAGCAATATTGGCGTTAAGGATAATCATTCAAAAATAAATGAGAATAAATGTCAAGAAAACAAAAGTAATGGTATGTGAAAGGGAAAATAATACAAGAATACAGATAAAAATACGAAACCAAGCAATAGAACAAGTAGATGAATTTACATACCTGGGAAGCGCAATCAGCAAGGATGGAAGAAATAGAAGTGAGATTATAAAACGTATCTGTCAAGCTAAAATAGCCTTTAACAAAAAGAAAACTATATTTACATCAAGAAGCATGAGTCTAAAAATAAGAAAAAACCTATTAAAGACGTATGTATGGAGCATTGCTCTGTACGAATGTGAAACCTGGACAATAGCAATGGAAGAAACAAAAAAGACTTGAGGCGTTTGAAATGTGGTGCTATGGAAGGATGCTAAGAATAAGTTGGATGGACAGAGTAATCAATGTAGAGTACTGGAAAGAATATCAGATGAAATGTTACTATGGAATAACATAGTCAGAAGACGCAACGAATGGATAGGTCATATAATAAGACACGAAGGATTGTTGAAATTGATAATAGAAGGAAAGAATCGTAGGGGTAGACCAAGATTGGAATTCATTCAACAGATAATAAAGGACCAAGGATTTGACTCATATGTGTAAATGAAAAGGAAGGCGGATAAGAGGGAAGACTGGAAGATGGCTGCAAACCAATCTACGGATTGAAACCATAGAGAGATTATAAATATATATATATATATATTCATATATTACACTTATAAATCATAAAACTTGCAATCAAGATATAAAAAAGGAAATAGGAGATCATGTAGCTTTTGGAATAATCCACCAATTTTTTTAAATTAAACACTATCTAAAGATTTGCATCGAAGCGTTTTTTATGATAGTGATTTTAATGTCAGGTATCATTATACATAACCCAACTATGCCACGTCACCTCTGTGCAACGACCACCCTGTGCTGGGTTTTTTTTTAAATTTAATCTTACTTATTTTATAGGCAATTTTGAATCCTCTTCCTCTTGGCGTGGAATTTGTCTTGTATTCGATCTTGACACTTTCGCCATCTGAAAGGAATGCACCGTCGTTAATGGAATTTGCATGTTTGAAAGGTGTAACGTAATCTGCAGTTCTTGACAAATATATCTTAACTGATTGTGAGTTGTCTAAATTATAGTCAACAAATTCGATCCATATACGTCGGCCAACTAAAAATTTAAACTTTGTTGCTTTATGTGTTTTATATAAATGAAATGAATGTAGAGATTCATTTAAACCAATGATTTTAAAATATAATTTTAAGAAATTTTATTTGTATTTAAATTAAACCCACCTGGTGCCAGTATCATGGTTATGCAGTTGAGATTAGGTAAAATGAAATTTGGGTAGTTTGGACTGACAACTTGACCTTGAAATGCAGTGAGGGTCTGTGACGGACATCCAGACATATCAATGACATTCCATTTAAGATGAAACCCAAAACTAGACACAGAGTAATCTGACTGAAAGTGTACATAAGCTTCGTTTGATTCCGTTACAAAAATGTAGCTACATAATAAGTTTCATTTGTAAAAAAATACAGTTCATCTTTATGTCTGTTTAATGTCTTATTTTACTTACTCTTCTAAGTTGTTGCCGCGGTAACCACACACTGTCATAGCTCTATCATTTTCTTTTTGACTTGTCTTTTCCATCACAGACACGTAATCATAAAGGCAATCTACTTGTGGTTCAATGTTTATCGAATCGAACTGAAACACAATTCTTGCACGATCTGGTCCGACTACGTGAGTCCAATAATCCAAATTGTGATAGTAATTCGCCGGATAATTTAAGGAAGTCAAAACTCCGCTAATGCCAGATACTGTCTTGTTTAAATTGTAATAATCCGATGATTCTTAAAGAGCGTATATTATACACAAATATTATAAAAGCTATGATATTAAATAAATAGTACACTTACTTAATTGTTTTTTTTTGCAAATATAACCTCCAACAGTGTTACAAATATTTGCAGTCCAGTATAGGCCCCTAGGAAGGTTGACAGGTGGTGAAGTGAGCCAACTAATGGCTAAACATAAATCTTTATAAGATGTTTGAGTATTTGCATTGTTTATTGCTAGCCAAGCTATAAAAAACCCAATAATAAAGAATAATGATTATTGTAAATAATTAATAGCAAGCATAGTTTAAAAAAGCATTAATGTATTAATATTATATATCAAGAGCGCCGTATAATGTGAAATCCTTTTAATATTGTTTTAGATCATTTATCGTAGAGTTATACAAAGAAATTATTAAATCGAACAAAAAATTAGTTAATATAGTTTATAATATACAATTATAGCAATATTTATTTTAGATAATTGTTTAAGAGTGTTTTTTTAATTTGATGTCGTATAATATTGAAGGTAAAAAAAAATCGATCAATAAATAAAATTTAAATACATTAAGTTTGCGAATATAAATATTTATTTCAATGGTCAACCCATATTTATTATTAAACCATATATTTTGTTAACTTTTTAATAGACATGAAAAACATTTTAACAGTTTTAAACATACAAAATTATATATTTCTTAGAGATTTTACTGACATATAGGTGTGAAGCTATATGTCAGTGTATTCATTATTAGTATTGTCAATTTAATTACATATATACCCGAAAATGTTTCTGTCGAATTGTCAATCCAATACCAGTATTTTTCATCCCACGTACCGCCTAACCAATATATAGCTGATCGACTATCTGATGATTCTCGTATAAAAGATTCGATGAATTGCTCTTCTTCGGCACTATGCACACTTGTTAGTTCAGCCTGAAAAATAAATTGATATCAAAATTATACTTATTATTCGCCTATAATAAATGAAAATGCCAATCATACGTATATACGTTGGAACATATTCTTAAGTCCAACATTCTTTGTTGAACAAGTTAATTAAAAAGATTATAAATATTTTTTATGCTCACTTTTATCCCGTTGCAAATACTTTTAGCTGTGTGCCATGATACTTCTGGGTAGCTGGCAAATAAATAACAAGATCCGTTATACATTTGCTGCCGTGCATCGTCACATCCATTATTTACTGAAATACAGTATTTTAAATATAATCTTTAGGTAACTATTAACAAGACGCTAATAAAAATAATATCTCACCGTGTTCAGCTGACACACGAGCTCTAAATCCACTGAATGAGTGTGAGTAATCCGATACAAAATGTATTTTAAGCTTAGACCTTTCAGTCACATATCTTGTCAATTTTAGCACGTCACTTTTGTCACCACAATATTTTGGCCCCTGATCTTCATCACCCGCAATTAATTCAACGTAATCGTAACTGCAACTGTCAATTTAACAAAGAACATACAAGTTTATACATATAGAACATTTATAATTGATTGTAAATAATCAATCAAAATTGTTATATTAAATAATTAATTATAACAAAATACATTTATACATTAAAAACTAACATAATTGTTTTGAAATAGAAAGTAGTAAATATAGACACCACTCACGTTGACTCGTTTTCTAGTACAAGCTCATCGAATTCCACTTCAATTTGATAGTCTCGAGGTACTTCCAATTTAATGGTACAGTCTAAGTTATCCGGATATGGTTGTGGAAATCCTGGACTCGAAATGGTCACAAACCTCATTTCATTCGTCAATTTTATTGTCGAATTACAGCTGTTATCGTCTGAATCTAATAAATTGTACATCGCTATTAAATGAATCAATGGCCTAACTGATATAATAGTAAATACTATTATAGTCATTATCATAAAAAGTTTATTATGAAATTTTCAAATAGAAACACTTAAATTAATATTTGTATCACATAATGTTTAGTGCAGTATAAACTGCATTAATAAAATTTTAAATAGTTTATGTTATAAATAAAATTAAATAATCAAAAGGTTGTTAATTCCGCACATTTTTATTTCTAGATTGTTGATAACCAACCATTATTGGTTAAACCAAATAACTGTATTGTACAATACAAATTATTATCCAAAGTATCGTAAACCACTGTTACTATTATTATTACAGTTCGTTATTTTGTTATATTATAAATGTAATATTAAATATTTCGCTAAAAAAAGGAAATGCATTAAATTACCATAAATATTAGTAAGAGTATGTTGTTGTATTTGACATAAAAATCGATTCCTCACTGTGCAGTCTCTATCGTTCCACGTATACGATGAATTACGTATGAAATATTTAAAAAGTCTGTTTTGAGAACCATAAACTTGTCGTAGTTCTATACAATCTTGCTGACTAAGTCCATCATCATTAGGCTGTTTAGAGTTTGACCCAACTTGAGATGGGTGGACATGACCTTGGTACCAATCTTAATAGATAAAATAAATTTAATTTAATTACGTAAATATTGTTTTCAAAAATACTAAGTGTCCTTTAGATTTGTTCAAATGTGCTGATATTAAATAAATTTTATTAAACTCACTGGAAAAGGTAAATGGAGATGAATCTGTCCATTGGAAAAATCCTTCATTGTTAATATCTGTTGCTCCTATCCAATATGCAGCATTATCATTATAGCCAGGACTGTAGAAAGATATTAATATATTTTCATAAATTAACTGTAAATTATTGGTTAAAAACTAAAGGCTATTACCTGTTTATTAGAATGGTATCAATAAGTAATTGAGTCTGATGACTATCGATACTGACCAAATGACCGCCATTTTCTATACAAAAATCTTCAGCATCATTCCAATTTTGCATTTCATTAATAATAGTCAAGCATTGACTAGATTTAAGTGAAACAGATCCATATGGACACTGTTTTACGATTTCGTTTATAGGTTCTGCTTTATAGGTTACTTTAAGTGTTGGTACCCGTAATGACACTGATGACGACTCCATTAAAACTATATTGGCATTAGATAACATAGACATATGTTTTTTAGGACTATCAGTTGAAGCACAATGGGACCATCGAATTGGACCATCAGTCAACCAAAACAAAATTCCAGAGCATGTAGATGTAGTATATTGTTGAAGAGGAGTCGTATTAATCTACGATAAAATTTTAATTAAATATCATTATGATGTAATATAGTTTCAAAGATGCAAACATTTTTTGACCAAATTTCTAAAACTAATATTTCAGTTCAAAATAAACTTACTGATAATGATTTCGCTTCATCTACGTCATCTACTGAGCTATCGACATGACCATAAGGTATAGAGTTAATGAGCAATCGAATTCGATAACCGTAAGGTTGAATGATTTTATAACGGCATTCGAAACCAGCGACAAATACTATTGTACCATTTTGTTGCGATACTTCGTTATCAAAACAACTAGCAGCATACTTATATATTAACGTAAAGGTAAACCTCCAACCAGTAATGGTTACCGATGAAAGTTCATCCACGTTAAAAACATAATGTCGATCAGATTCATGTAGATCTTCTAATTTTCCACATACAACTTTGTGACCGGATAACTGTAGATGACTATGTTTACATGGCATGTTTAACTTGACAAGGTCAACTATAAGTCGAGCTTGATATTTTTGTGGAAACTTGAGCACACACTTACCATGTGTAGTCGGAGAAGATGGCAGATCTTTGGAAGACAAAGTGCCTTTTTCAGGTAACAAATGTAGTTCACAGTCTAGAAAAAACATAAAATAAACATTTTAAATTTTTTTGTAGAAATTTTTAAATAAAAATCAGTTACCTTTTAAAAGTAGGAATCTTTTGTTTGATATATTAATCTCAGATGTTACAACTGTACTATATACTAACCTAAAATGTAAAAACTATTGAATATTTTAAAATGCCAGGAATTACATTCAAATTTTTTTTACACTTGAAATTCCATTATTATGAAATTTTTTACTGTAATATTTTATTGAACCATAGCACATTACAAGTAGTAGTATGCAAAGTTTCTTTTATAGTTTTTCACTTATTAATTGGGTTTTTTGGCTATAATTTCAATTAAATATTAATAAAGTTCTTTATAACTCTTATAAATTATGTTAAAAGGTCAAAATCAATAAAAAAAATATAAATTAAAATAATATACTAGGTATATAGTTTATCATTTATTGATTTAAAAAAAATTGATAAATTTTTCTTTTTTTTCATTAATATTATTCATTAATATTCATTGGGTAATTTTGATTTTTTTCATGATAAACCAACCAAGCTACAAACTCTTATAAATGCTAAATTAAAGAATTGATTAATTACTTATGTTACTCAACAATATTTGTATTTATAGTTAATGTATTATGTGTTGTGTTATTATTAACTTGAGAATTTAAGCTTAAATTTGTTAATTTAGTGTATTTCTTTTTTTTTAGTTATACGTTTTGTATTATAGTTATTAGTACTGTATTTTGCTCTTTTAGGCGTTTGTCTTTAATAAATAATAAATAATAAATATATATATATATATTACTATTGATTAAAAGGTAATAATACCATCTTCTAAATATATTTAGCTTATAATTAAAATTTGATATTTGATATACATTGAATAGTTTAAATTTAATACTTCGTACCTGGAAATGTCATGTGACATAATTTTTGATAAGTAGAAATTAAACATGTCAAAATGAATATACTTTATTAAGTTTTATCGTCTTACTGTACCAATAAAAAATCACTCTTATATGTTTTTTCAAAACTATGTAGACTTAACTATAATCACATAAATAAAATTGATATTCAACATTATAACACTACAAAAGTTTTGAAGTATATGCTAAAAATAGTATCTTATTTTTGACACACTAACTAATATTATTACTAAAGAAGGTATTTAATCCAAAATGAAGTTTATTTCTCAAATAAATTGTGGGTGCACATAAATAAAGTGAAAACATGAAATAAACTACACGTAAGCAATTCAAAAACAATTTTTTTCGTTTTTTAACAAAATATACAATTGTATCCTCTTTATAATTCATATATAAAGTTCCCTGTATATTCCCTATAGGCATAATAACAAATATAAATAAAACTTTTAATGTATTTCACTCGAGCACATATCTACAAAACCTTTTAAAAATTATGAATAATAAATTATACTAATATAAATATTAAAAGCCTGTATTATGTCAAAAAAATTCTTACTTTTTTAATTATTAAAATAATTTTAAGTAATAATGATATAAAGTTTTAGTAATTAAACATCATTATATTTTTAGATAGTTTTTATTCAATGCTTAAATATTTCATACTTAAAAATAGTAGACAATACTCATCAGGGTTCTTTAAGAATGTAAAATATAACTTATATTATTAAATTCAAATTTCTTTTTTGATAAAAATATTAATACGAAAAAATCTAAACATAGTAAGATTTCTAGATTTTAATCAAAATTTAGTAATTAAATAAGTATAAAGATTACAGCAATCAGTCTTGGTGTTAACTTAAAACAAGTCATAGATTCCTTTTTAATTAACATTTTTCTCTTGTTTAAAATGATTTTTCATTATTATTATCATTATTAAAAGTAAAACGTAAAGAAATTTTTTTTTGTTTATAGATTTTCTACTTTAAATTTCAATCGTAGTATTTCATATGCATAAAATTATATGACAGTTAGTATGAGAATATACAATAAAGTATTAATTTCAACAGTTTGCTTTTAATAATTCGCATAAGATTTGCGTTATGTATAAGTTTAATATAGCTTAAGAATACGTTACATAATCACATAATATATATACTTAGTTGAAGCTATCAGTGCCATATTTTTAAAAATATCCATTAATCTCAACATTGAGAAATATCTCAAGAAATTATACTTGTTGTTAAACTGTGAATATTGATATTTTTAGTTTCTTTTTTTATATTGAAATAACTTCTTTAAAAATGAGCGGTTCATTCCAAAATAATTATTACCTTTACTTTGAAAATTTACTTTACCGATGACACTTTTTTTTTTAAATACATTTATTAACCAAGGTAATGTAGGAGCTTAAAAATTATATAAAACTTTTTCCTTTTTAAATATTGTTTCAAAAAACTTGTCATCTTTAAACCTACATCAAATTAAAGCTCATACAATATGCTATAAGATAATAGTAGACGCTAAAAATGACCAATTTGTAATTCTATGCATAGTAGCGAAACCTACAACATTCTAAAATATTCTAAACTAAACTTGTTTAATGTAATTTATGATTAAAAAAAAAAAACGTTCCAGTGACTTTTTTTCTATGAGTAATTTTCATCTTAAGCAAAAATCATACGATTAAAGATAACATTTTTTTTTATTTCTTAGAGAAGTAAAACTTAATATACTTATATTGTATGTTGACACAATTTATCATGATATCAAAACTATTATTTATTGTACTTTAAAAAGTCACATTTTATAGGATTATGATCGAGTAGCTAAGTTTGTTAGATAATTATATTTTCAAAACTAGTATAACAATCGATCTATTAAGTTTAGTTTACTAACACATCATTATCATGAATAAAGCATTTCTATAAATAATTACACTATGATATAACATTATTATATTATATCCATTGCAACTATCATTACATGCATCAAGTAAAAAAATAGCACAGTTACGACAGTATAAGTTATCTCAAATAAGAACGTTTCCATAAAATCGGCTCATTTTCTTTGGTCACGCATAGCTAAAAAACTACTGAATCAATTGATTTCTAGTTTATGTCAAAACATTAAAAATGTTATTGAGAAGTGCCTTTTTCTAATTATAATCAATTCGGATCAATATAACGAAAATCATTAAGCGTTAACGTTAAGAACATTTACAAAAAAAGAGATATTAAAATAGTACGTTTTTCGTCAGAAAACAATTTTCACATTGTCAGATTTTTCACTCAACTTATAGTTTCGTTCTTATTAAGATTTCTTGAAGCATCATATTTTTTTATTTCATAAGTTAAACACTTATGAGATACGTAATGATTTGTGATTAAATTTTTTTACTTAACCGTTTTTCACTCGTAGATGAAGGCGAAGTGTTTTTGAGATCTACATAATATATATTATTTTATAAATTCAAAATTATTTTTTATAAAAATAACAATACTATTAGTTACATTAGGAATTAGTCAATTATATAAAAATCTTAATATCATAATAATTTAGTTATTATTTGTTAGGTTTTAGTAAACATTTGTTGACAACTAAAAATTCACAGTGCTCTTAATAATTTACTTTCAAAATAAACAATTATACTTAAATTGAAAAAATCTCTCCGTTGTACATTTATATCAAAATATTATTATGTTGACCTCAACTTATTCGCGTGATATAATGATTTATAACTTGTTTTAGGTCATGATTAAGTACTATACCTATTGTATGCATAAAATGTTTATTAATATTGTATCCATAAATTGAAGTATCACGAACCTATAAAGTTCTTTATGTATAAACATTTTAAGTTAACTCAAAATTAGAAAAATATTAATTTTAAATGAAAATTTGATTACTCAATCAAAACATCATTATTATTCAATTTTTATAAATTAATATTTTCCTATCTTTTAATTTAAGTTTTTAGTAAATTTTGACTAAATAAACTCGAAAATAACTCGTCCGAAAATTATATTTGTAATTATATATGTAATTGATCTGAAATTCTATTATTCATTCACATATAAAAAAAATTTCGTAATATACAAAAATAAAGAACTATAATAGAAAATTAATCTTTTTAATAAAAATTAACAAACGTTTATAAAGAATCTTTTAAGAAAACTAGAATATAATATAGTAAACTTAATTTGATGTGATTGAACTTAAAATGTTTTACGTATCACTACTTTGTGATATGTATTTATAAGTCTCAAAATGACTTCTTTGTTATCTAAGTAATAGTATAATGTAATAGAACAAATTAATTACAAAGATAATAATTTAAGCTAGGTATAAAGAAACAAGTTTAACGCACTTTCATGATAGTTGGAAAAAATTTTTTCTAGATAAAATAAAATGAACATTGATTAAGAGCTACTATATAAATCATAATTTTGATATGCACATTACAAGTTATTTATTCTTCAAATGTATAATATTTCAAAGAAATCAACCGATTAGACATAAATTTAATTAATGCAAATTAATTTATGTTTTCATAATTTGAAATCAATAGAAGTTCTTTGAATCATTTATGGTGAATTCAGTAATAATTATAAGACTTTTCATTTGTGCAATTGATTTTGTTCTTAAGAAACTTTTGGAAGTATACAAATTTACATGTTACTTTTGTATATTCATGACATTTACAATATATCTTTTACAAAATTAATTACTTTTGTATTTTTAACGTATTTTTAGTTGGTATTTTTTCAATTTTAATTGAAATATTTGGGCCTAAGCACAAAATTTAGTCTATTAAGTGTATATGTACGTAATTAAATATTTCTAAAGTAGCAACACAACATTTGCTTAAGTTTTTAACCTATAAATTTAAAATTAAAAAAAAAACTATAAGCCCAGACTTAATTAAAATTAGCATAACATTTAGTCATAATGTGATACAATTTACTACAATCTATTCTCCGGTTAATTAGCACAAGCTAATAGGTTAAAATTATAATTGGGGTTTATGGAGGTATTTTTGAATTAAAACTAACAAATGTGCAAGTGTATTCATAAAAAAATTCAAAAAATATTACCGGAAAGTACCGTAAATAAAGTATGACCTAAATATAAAATAAGGTTCATATTAAATAAAGTATATTTTACATGAAATAGGTTTATTCTTTAGGGATTTCGACCAAGAGAAACAAACTAAACAAG